GCCGATAACTTCACCTTCATACAGCAGTCTGCCAAGCAGCTAGGTTTCTTAAGTCATGGCTCATCCCACCCAGGAAGGACTGGATTTAGGGCAGCAATTTATACATGCGATCCTACTCCAGTCTCCTAAATGAATTAGTTCCTTGAGGGGTAGGAATGTCTTGTGGAATGAAAATACAGCTTTCCTGTTCTTTGTTTTGTGGATATTGATGTGGTTTCATGATTTTAAAAAGAACTAACTCCGCAGATCCTTCTGATTTGTTCATATGTAAGCCAGAATACCAGTGACCAAGGAGCCTGTGAAAGCAAGCACAGAAGTTAGAAGCTTGAAACAGAATTGACAAAATAATCCCAGTACATTAAACTGTGTTTGACTCTTCTTAAAGATACTATTCCCAAGCTTAATCTCATGTCTGTCACACAAAAACTTTGATGTTGTGTATGGTTAGGGCTGCACAGTCCTTGACAAGACACCACAAAATTTTGCAAGCTTGCCAGCCTGTAAATGTTTAGCCTGAAATATTTCATGCTTGGGAGCTACTTAAGGATGAATGCTTCTTAATTTTTTTTAAAGGCTTCTCTTGTTCCAAAACCTTAATCAGGTAATTCCGTGGTTCTCCTTGCATAAAATAAGAAACTTGCACCCTTGTAGCTGACATGCTGTGCTGTCTGCTTTTTTAGAGCAATACACTGGTGTCAGGCAAAAGCCTCTTCTGTGCCTAGGAAGTGACACTGCCTGCAGTCATTTCATCCATGAGCAGCTATGCTAACTGCAGTTAAATAGAGACACCCAAATAACTCTGAAATGTTGATAGAGCAAAACACTCCCTTCATTTTCATGCTACGTTGTTCAACTTTTGCTAAAGACAGTGAAAGGCATTTACCATTCGCATCCAGGTTGGTATAAAGCCTTTGTATAGAGACATAAACCCTTCACCTTGTACCGTTTGAATCAAGCAGTCCGTGGAAGACTTATACAGCAGACCTCTAGCAATGTGCAGAAAACAAACAGTTAGGATTACAAATACAGAATTCACAAATAAATAAACCCTTCCCAAATAAGAAATAACCTGTATCAGCCGAATTTGTACAATTATTTTTTGTAAGCTCACTGGAGTCTTAATTGCTCTGAATTCCACTGAAGGAACTTGGTATGGCTGTGTGATCATCCCAACAAAACCCCTGAGACATGCAAAACTGAAATACTAAAAAGGAAACAAGATGAAGACCAGGACTTAGCACCCGGACCAACTCCCAGTGAAATCAGAGAGACCCAGGGTCTTGCTGTCCTACCGAGAAGTCCCCAGAGTGTCCGTACCTTCCCTGCTTGTCTCTCGGCTGGTTCATTATCCGGGTTTTGACCACATCAGCAGGAGTTCCCAGGACAGCAGCCACCAAGCCAGAACAGCCACTATCAATAACAACAGGTACTTAGCAAAAAAAAGAACACAATGATTTACCACAAGTTAATTTCCAATACTAAAGACACATGAAAGCAGGTATCATAAAACCATGAGTAATACCTCATAAATTAACATAAACCTGTTTAGGAGAAGGCTTGCTAGTACTGCTTCTTCTCAAATGTCCTCTCAGCGCCAGCTGCCCTCGCCTCTGTGTGTAGTCCTGAGGCGGGGATAAAGGACCCATAATAGTTGATTTATGTTATTGCTTATGTAAAGCGGAGCTCTTCATAATTCAAGGGAGTAAAAGAGGTTGTTATGCAGAGGTTATATCACTTGTTACTGTTTGCTAAAGTTAAAATAAAGTAGATAAAATAGTAGCAATTTCAGAAAGGTGAATATTTGTGTGCTCTCACAGGTGTTATAATGTACTGGTAAGGCCCTTCTGGTGAGGGCAGTTTCCTAGCATCCTTTGTCTTGTGATTCCTGCACAGTGACATTCTCTCAGGCAAAAAAAACCTCAAACCACTACCAGTATAAGGGTAGTTTTATCATCGATATCACAGCCAAAGACTAGGGGGTTCTGCTAGCACACAGAGGGCATGCTGGTCCAGTCAGCCAGGCAGGGAATGCCCCACAGTGGAAAAGAGGTAAAAAAGGAGCACGGCACCTGGCAACGCTGTGAGTGAGACTGTTGTCTGTGAGCGGTGTGTTCAGAAGCAAGAAGTGTTTCACTGAGTCGTAAGTGGTCAGATCTGTAATGAGAATAATGAGGAAAAAACCAGCATCAGAAGCAAATGGTGTTTGTGCTGTTTGTTACTGACAAAGGATGGAGATGTGGCAAGACCAAAATTTGCAGTGCAGCCCCTCCCGTTGGCACAGCTAGCACTCTGCCCCCGGTTTCTGATGCGAGTTGTGGCACGTAGCTCCCTTCGTTAGACATGTGAGTACCTGCTCCCTCCCACTGCCTTCTTCGCTGTTCTGCCCTACAAATGGCAGCATGGATCCCAAATTGAAAGTTCTGTAGAATAATTCATGATGACATTTACTATATAGCCCTCATTTAATACATGTAACTCCTGCTGCGACCATCCAGATGATCAGTCCAGTGATTCCTTTATTGCTGCTTAGCAAGGTGCACTTTATGCCACCTCCAATTTTGTATCTCAAAAGACTTTTTGGTCATGCTAACGTAATCCTGTGCCAACTGACCTAGGAAGTAGTACCCAGCGTGCCAAAGAAGATTAAAACATGCAAAATTAAAAAAATAGCCAAAGTAGTGCTGCAGGATATGCCAAGAACAGAGCCAATGTTTATGATGGGAATCCACAGGCAGTGCCTTTCAGTCCCAAAGACTTAAGATCTGAAGCACCACAGGCCAAGTTATTCAATTTACCTCCCATGTTTACCAGAGCAGCTCTCTGGACGTTTGGCACCCATCCAGCCCAAAGTCCCCGAATTCCTCCTTCGGACAGGATCTTCATAAATGCATGGTGCACTCCTCGAAATCTAAAATCAAAGTTTAATGGAGAGAGAACCCAGCTACAGAGACATCTTTGCATATTCCAGAGCTTTGCTGAGCCAGGTCCTCACTTAGGAGTGTCAGTTTATACCTGCGAGGATCTGGCCTCTGAATCCCTTTAATCTTTGACTTTCCTACCACGACATCTTAGCAAACACGAGTTTCCCTGGTATGCACAGATCTGGTCGCTAATGATAGGTGACCCCCTGATTCCACAGCTGTGTTGCAATACTAAATGTGTAAGAAACCTAACAACCTTACCAAAGAGTAACACAGGTGGATAAACACCACCCTGGAGAAGAACTGACCGTAATGGCTTTCCTTCCAGCTTCCTTTTCCCTTCCATCTGCATCTGCACCTTCACCAGATCAGTTGGGCTGGCAAAAAACTGTCCGATGGCACCCGCAGACATGCCTCCAACAACAGCTTTCCTGCCGCACAGGGAAATCAAACACACTGCAGAATACACTGAGGAGCTTCACAAATCACAGTGCTAAAGAGTTCGGCAGCATGGCCCAAGTGAGACAAATGTGAGTGGCTCTTTCTTATCCTGGCAGCCAAAGTTAAGATGATAATTGTGGCAAATGCAGGTAGTTAATGTAGTCAGGAATAGTTCGGTTAATTTCAAGTTAATACAAAAATGGAGAATCTGCCACCAAGATGCTCTGCTTCCTCTCCAGGTTTCATTATGCTCCTCACTTAAGGTTTAAAGGCAGGATGGCAAGATACAAGAGAGGTTCCTGTATATATTATAACAACTGATTGTCAATCTGAAACTTGGAACTGCGTGCCAATACATAAAACCCTTTCCCATAGCACCAGGCAGTCCATACAGGTGCTTAATTACTTTATTTATCTTTACCCTCTTTAGGTGGGCAAGCCGTAAAGAGAAGACAGCTTTCTAGGGCCACATGCAGTAAAGGACAATACCCAAATAGGCACAAGCACACGTGCAACATTACCAGAAAGGAAAGCTTTCATCCTCAGCCCTTCCGAGCACGGAGTCACGCAGATGTTCATATGCAACCATCCGAACACCAGAATACACTGTGGAAAACAACAGCAGGAGGTAAGTCTGAGGTCTGCCATTCCTGGAGGTCACCGGGTGAGGGAAAGCTGAAGGGATTTGTTGTAAAACATTGTGAAGCTTGCCTGGGCCATTTGGTCACTGCTCATGTTCATGGTGAAAATGGGTAAAGGAAGGCAGTTGGCTGGTACAAATGCTATAGCCAGGAATTTTTTCACATCTTTTTGGCTGAGCCATAAATGTACCAAGAGGCAGCGTGGCTCATCCCAGCACATCGAGCAGACCCTACTGCACTGCTCCCCTCTCAGCTGGCTGCCAAGCACAGAATCTCCCACGAGTGCTTTTGAGGTTTGTTGATGTCACTGGCTCGGCAAGTAAAACACAGCAAGCTGTTACTTCTGGCCAGACCGTTAACGTGTTTCTTCATCCTAGTGTTTGCAACCTTATATTTTTTCCCAGTCCATCCCCACTTCCCTCAGATAAAATACATTTATTGTTCTGAGGACTGCGAGTGCCTGTTAGCACAGAGGACCTTCCTGCAAAGTTGACAGGGAAATTATATTTTGTTTTCCTACAGGCCAGAACAAGGCCATGAAGAGAGGGGACTGAGCCAGATCCTCATTTATTTCAAAGTGGGATTGCAAAGCAGGCTGAAGAAGTCCTCGCAGCTACCTTTAAAGTACAACAAAGTAGGGGAAGCTCGTGGCCCGAGGCTGCTGGCCACAGCAAGCAGGACCCGAACTTGCCGATAATCACCTATGTGCCGGTAGACGGCTGGCGTGGCTCCTTGCCAGAGCTTCAGTAAGCCTTCCTCCTGCACCACGCCAGCTGCCGTCCGCAGCATGCCACGGTACGGGACAGCCTGGCCGGCAGCAGCTCCGCTGCCCTGCGCAGCAGCTTCACCTTGGACCTGCAGGCGAGTTTTCGTGAGGTCCAGGGGGAACGTCACTGAAGAGAAGGAGCAGAGGACAAACGTGAGTTTGGGTCCGGCTGTGGCGGGACCCACCACGCTGGTGAAATCTACACCCGAATCCCAAGGCAGGCAGCAAGGTGTGAGCAAAGTGCAGCGACCAGTAGCAGGGCGGGAGTACTTGTGGGGAGCAGGAGGTGATTCACATCCAGATCTGTTCAAAGTGGCTTTGGACATGAGACACAAGCATGCATCAAGCCCCAAGTCTTCTCCCTTTACTTCTTTTTCAAGCCGTCATGCCATACACATACTTCCCAAGAGACTCTGGGGTAAAAGCTCTGTTCCAGTTACTCCTCCTGAACGAAGATCAGTTGGATCTCTTACTGGGTGTCTGGCCTCTCCAGCTCTGCCCAGCGTGGTGGCAGAACATGACCCAGCACCAGAGACAGCCCCACGCTGGCCATGGTGTAACGCAGATATCCATGCAGGTGAGCAGCTATCCTACAAGCCACCCTAAACCACGCCAGTGCTGCTTTGCTGGTGCAGACACAAAGAGCAAGTTTCAGCTGTTAATTCCTTCACAGGATTAAGGAACGGCCAGGGAAGGTGGCCCACCTCCATTTTGGCACAATGGGGGTGCTTTTTTGCTGCCCCTAATTTCCAAATCCTCAGCAGTCATACAGCTGGCGTAAAGGTGTCCCTCTGCATGCAGGCCAGCGGTGGCTCTCCAGGTGATGGGGCACGGTAACACAGCGCTCACAAGACCAGCAAAGACAGACATCACAAATGGTTAGCACACTGCAACAGGCTTGCATGTAAGAGTCTGTAGCAGTCATATACCATAGGCTGAGAAATATTACAGGTAAGTTACTGAGGACAGAGCAATGCCATGCAGATGCCAGGTTTCCTGCATTTCACCAAGCAGGTTGCTACCATCCGTTTTTACAGACATCTCTACCGTAGCCAGAACATGAGATTTGATTTTTCTTTGATTAACCTACATTAACTAGAAAAAGCAAATTCCTGCAGAAGCCAGCACCTTGATGCTACCCTTAGGCAAAAGACTGCCTCTAGTGTTGCTCCAGAAAACAAGCAAGTGCAAAGGTTAGGTTAGTCCCAACTGTGCTGTGCTAATTGACTGCTGCCCTTCGGTCTCAGAGGCGAAGATTTCCATGCGAAAGACCCTACAGCTAGTTCATGTGGCACAAAGCACTTGCAAAGCTTAAATCATGGAAAAGGGAGAGCGAGCAGAGTGGAAGCAGCAGATTTGCTGGAGCAGAAATGCCAGAACCAAATGCCGAGCAGCGAGGAATCCGGGGACTGAAGATCTCCCTGCCCCCCAAAACCAATTTTTGATCCCCTTCCCTCCAGCCAAACCACGGTGATTTGTACCTAGTTCTGCCACAGTGGCCGCACAGGCTGACAGAGCGAATTTGCTGGCCCGGGGCCATCTCTCTGGAAGAGGTAAGCTCTTCTCGTCTTCTGCAGGTACCATGTAGCGGGTGACATGCGGCAAGGCTAAGCAGCCACCGTGCACGGCTCTGAAAGAGGAGCAGCCCTGGCCACGCTAGCTCAGCTGTGCTCGGGGTTGGTTAGGAGGCAAATTTCTGAAGGTCATGTTTCTACAGTGCCAGCGCTCCCAAACGCAGCAGCCCGAATTCCTGCAGAGAGCTGCAAGGTCCTCGGTGAGTGACACGGGAGACAGCAGGCTCCTGGGAAATGTAGTCTGGCAGCAGCACTGCCCCCTGCCAGCAGGCTGGGAGCACACAATTTTGACACTTGTCTTCACGTTAAAAAAAAAAAAAATAAATCGTTAACAAGGCGTCAAGATGATGAGAGCAGCTGCAGGGCTGTTTGCTTTGTGGGGTGTTTCAGTTTGCACCATCTTTGTCACCGACATCCTCCCCAAAGAGCATCCCAGTGCCAAATGGCTGCGCAGGCACCGTCGCTGCCTGCTTTCAGACAGATTTAATTGATCCAGATCTGGTGTAATGAAAGCAAAATTAGCAGCAGCTACATACATGCTGAGCTGAAGAACGGGCTATCTAGCACTGTCAACAGTTCCCTGGGGAAATTGTGGGGGCTCGGCACGGAGCTGTGCAATTTGAGCAAGGGGCACACAAACCTGGGAGGGCAGGAGCTGATCTCTGCCAAACCCCTGCATGTCAGAAGTTTCAAGCTTTTCCTGGATGAACATTGAAACCCCAGTGACTATGTGCCATTCTTAATTTCTCTTAGATTAATGTAGGCACATTTTGTTCTCATCCTGAAAATGAATAAATAAATAAGGCACGGGCTGCTCAAGAGAAGCTCTTCGTTTGCCATTAAAGCTCAGCTGAATCACTGAGTTAATCATTAGCCATTAATCACTAATCCTCACGCTGAGGATTTGAGGGTTTTTAGGACACAGAAATCATCCGAGAACCACCCCCCAGACCTAACTAACATTTTGGTATGCATTCCAGGTCACAATAATTGAGACAAATGAAGGGAGCATTGCAGGTAAAATATCCAGGGCAAGTGAGATGAATTTATGTTGTGGGTCACCCATAATCAGTATTAAATTGGATCCCTCGTTGGGTTAGAATTCGTTAGAATCTGTGCTGTGATGGGACAAAGCACCGACAAAACCCCCTGGCTGCTGATGAAAATGGGAGGAAGGTTGATTGCCATTTAACACAAACGTGCCTGGTTCCAACTAATAACCATGGCTTCTTGTCCTTTCAGATGTGCACCTCTGGAAACTGTCTCTCTCTGTCCTTTCTGTAACCATGCTTTAGGGACTGGAAGCCAACTAGAGCCCTCCTTAAAGTAAACCCTGTAACCTAGCATCCTATGGAGGGAACATCACTCCATGGTAATTTTTCGTCTGGGGAAGTTCTCTGGTTTTTCAGCCAGGCTGATGTGGGGACAGCACTGAGGAACACAAATGAGTCTGAGCTGGAGATGAGCGTTTGCTGCAGCAGCTCTCGACATCTGGGTTTTATTTATCTCCAAATCCTGAGGGAAACAGCTCTAGGAAAGAAAACCCTTAGTATTTATTTAATTTGGCTTTTAGTGACACAGCAGTTTCTGATTTCTGTCCAAAGTCAGTTCAGGCTGCATGCAGGGGAAGGGAGCATGGACTTTAGCTACGATGGAGGCACAGCAGCAGGGCCAGGGAGGGCTGGGTGCTGCTGCACAAGGCAGCCAGACTGCCCCACTCCTCCAGCCTGCCTTCAGCAGTGGGGATTGTGACATTTTCCATTGGAAAACAAACATGAAACATTATCTTAATCAGGCCTAAGACCTAGTCTGAGGCAGCTTGTTAGTGACAATCATGCCACCATACTGGCTGTGTCCTCCTCGCGATAATGCTGTCAGTAGCATCTCTTTTCCTTCACCAGATCTTTCCCAGGAAGCAGAAGCTAAGCTAAACAAAAATGGAAACAAACACAAAGGCCTTTAACTAACGTCCTCACAATGTGTTCGGGGCTTGTCTCGCCTGTGCATAGAGATCAGTTCACACTCACTGCTTGGGTTGTGCATGTAGTGAAAATATCCTCCAGTATTAGGCCAGTATACATGAGGTGGCCCTGCTTGAGCTGGGGGTTGGCCCAGATGACCTCCAGAGGTTCTGGAGCCTCCCTTCCAACCTGAACCATTCTGCAATTCCCTGATTACGAGGCTTACATCTCCAGCCTGATTCACGTTGCCCTTGTGCGCTGACTTCATGTTGCCCTCTGCTGAACTTGATGAGGTTCTCGTCAGCCCATTTCTCCACCCTGATGATGTCCTGGGTGACATACCCCCGGGCTGTCAGCCACTGCTCCTGGTTTTGTGCCATCTACAGACTTGCTGAGTGTGTTCTCTGTCCCACCACACAGGTCACTGATGAAGACATTACACCATGGCGGTTCCAGCATCCACCCCTGGGGTGCACCATGCTTGCTGTCCGCTTACCTGGTATGTACTTGATCAATTTGGGGTAGGAGATGGTGTCAGAAGCCTTGCTAAAATCAAGGGAGACAGCATCCACTGCTGTCCCCTCTACCGAGCCAGTCACCCCAGCACAGAAGGCTTTAAAAGATGCCTGGGATGGCTGGGATAAATGGATGTGGGAGATCATGGAGTGTCTCGTTTCCTTCTGCTAGCTGGCCCATGCTTCAGATAACACAATTTATAATAATGATATGTCTGATAGTAATATATGTGATACTTAATAGTGTGCCCAGTGCCTGAGGAGCAGATAAAGGCTCTGGGTGCTGACTTAACGAAGCCCCTAAAGACGTGAGCTTGGCTGGGTGAGAGGGACCTTTCCTGAGGCTCATCGCTTAAGGAGATGTCTGCAGATATTCCTTGTCATCTGCCGTGTTGAAGGCTAAATGTCTGCAAGTCCCAGCCTCTGTTTTGCAATACTCTTATTGCTAAAAATATTTTTTTAATGGAGAAAAGTGACCTGCTGCTTTGCCACGGTGTCCCTGGCAGCGTCCTTGGCTGCCCGGGCAGCACTGCAGCAACCCCCCAGCACATCTCCCCGGTGCAAAGTGCAGGGATTTGGCACAGCAGCGTCAAAGTTTTGCAAACAGCAGAGCTGGTCCTCATCCCGGAGCGGTGGACAACTTGCTCTGCCTTTTTCACAGCTGGGGCTTGTTCCCCAGGCTGCTCCCTGCTTTGTCCCTGTGTCTCCGTGGTGGCAGCCAGCCGGCCAGGTTGATACAAGAGCCCTTATTGAGCGGCAGGGACAATCCTGGCCCTGCAGGGTGCTGCGGCAGGCGGAGCAGCCGCTGCAGCAGGCAGTGAGAGGCAAAATGGCTCTGGCTGTGCTCTTGGCAGCGCTCCTGGGACTTGTTGTTATTGTCAAGTGGTTTTTGTTTCAGCCGAGAAACCCGAGCTGCCCTCCTTGCATCGGGAGCTGGATCCCGTGGGTTGGAGCCGCGTTCCAGTTTGGGAAAGCTCCCCTGGAGTTTATAGAGCAAGCCAGAAGCAAGGTAAGGGCTGCGGCGGCGTGCCTGCCTCTGGGTGTGTGCGCTTCCTGCAGGGGGGAAGGCGAGGAAAAACTTGTGCTTGAAGTTTCAACCTGGCAAAAGCGATCAGCCCTTTCCTGTCACGCATTGTAAGGTCGGGAGCACTGAGCTGGTGAGGGCTGGGCTTTGTGTCAGGAAGCCTGCTCAGCCACGGTCCGAGCTCTGTGCTGGAATCGCCCTGCTCAGGCTCAGCTCCGCTGCTGTTTTGCTTGTGCAGTCTGGCTACGTGTTAATCGTGGTTTCAGATAATTCAGGCAGCCCTGTGGCAGATGCTGGGACCAGGAGCCTAATTATTTTTGTACCTTAACTTAGGGGACATTTTTAAGCATCAGCTAGCATCGCACAGCACTGAGGAGAGGCACAGGCATTCCTGGCAGGCAACTTTGTCCTCCTAACAAATGTACCAAAGATGGTTGTGAAGATTTACCCATGGAGAATGTGTCTTTCTCTCTGTCTGTCTATACAGCAAGAGCCTAAACAATTCATTTAGATTAGATACCTAAATTCTGGACAGCTAATATTAAGTGACATAAAATCCATGTTCCTGTTTTCATGCGGTGATGTTGTCACCTGCTCCTGATGCAATATTTTCAGCCCCAGGTGTTCAGTACTGAAGGACCACACGGCCCACTACTTGCAAACACTATCTAAAAATGAAACAGCTCTAAAATCCTGAAATTTGACAAAAGCATTAATGAACATTGGATGTTTAAAATCTGCTTTCTTTTTTTTAACTATTATATTTCATATTTATAAATACTTCTTTGCAGTTGTGGGTGTTAAAAACTCAGAGTGTTAAATGGAAACTGAGGTCCAAGTATAATCAGCTGACTGAGGTGTAAGAAGAGCATCACGAGCTGTGCATATTGTAATAAAGCGCACTGGGTGCACTGTAGGGTTGTATTAATATGTTCTTCTTACATCTTTCATCTATGCATAGCATGATCAGTAATTTTCATTCATCCAAGAGCAGAAATTTCAGACTGAAACCTCATTCAAGTCCATTCTCCTACATTTCAGGAACCGTGTCATATAATACTTTAAAAAAATGATCAAGCCTCGCTTGAAAAACTGTCATAATGCTTCTTTGGCTCTTCTGTTACGAGGCTATTAGAGCAGATCCTTGTTCCATTGAAAACATATCCTGGTGGCAGCCAGATTAAACTGTCATTTCCAGTGCAATCCCCTTTGGGGACAGATATTTTATGATGACATAAGCTTCCTTTAGTTGCTTTTTTTTTTTTTATTTTCCCTAGGAAGCTGTTAACAAAGTCTCTCAGATTAAATTTTTAAAACAAACCAGACAGAAGCGTCCTGCTTGAAGGTTCATTTACATCTTGAATGAGCAAAACTTCTGCACATTAAAGAACACACTGAAGTACAAACACACACTTGGCAGCCCTGGCTCCTCTGAGTTTGGTGTTGATCTCCCTGTGTTCCAGTAGGCCACACTTGGTGCTGTGGCAGCTCCTGCTGTGCAACACCTGAAGGACTTCAGAAACCCAAGGGTCAGCATTTGTAAAGACAGAAACTAGACCAAGAAACAATTTTAATGAAGGGAAGCTTGAGAGAAGGCAGAAAGAGAAAAAGCAGAAAGAGATAAAGCAGAAAGAAAAGGCTTTTGTTTTTGTTTTCTTATAGTCTCCTGCTTCTTAGTGCCTTTCTTTCAACTGTTTCCTTAGTCCAGCACCTCAACATCCTCCCACATGGTGACCTGCCTCCTTCTCTGTACTGAGGCCAGGACAGACAAGCCTTTTCCTGCCTGCTCCTTTTTAAAGGACTAAGCACTGCCGCACAGTGTAGCCAAATAAAACAGGTGCTGCCTGCCAAAGGGGTTGTTACCAGGCATTGCAAGGGTTGCAAAATACGTCTGCAATAGTTTCAAGCTCCATAATGCTGCCAGAAAAGGGTTAAGTGTCCTTAGCACGAGCAAGCTGAACACGAACAAGTCTGTTCAGAAACAGGCTCCAGGCAGTGTGAAAGCTCCCCAGCTGCGTAGGATTGGTACTGTCAAAGGAGACTTTCACACTTAGAAGCTTACTCTCATAGATTAGTCCTTCAGCCTGCCACAATGGCATTCATTTCTTTTTCTGTCCTGAAGGGTTAAATAGTCTCACTGCTGTCTTATTTTTTGCCTCTCCTTCACTGCTTCTTCCCTCAGGTGCTGGGGCAGCACACCAGATTTCCTTTGCTGCCAGTCCGCGCTTTGCTTGAAGATCGCTGCCTCCGTTTTCCTCCTATAGAAGAGTATGTGGGCTGGGAGAATTGTCACTTTTTCCCCCGTGTGTCACGAGTGGCTCTAACAAAAGCAAAATTCCCTGCTCTAATAAAATATTTCATCTCTGGTCTATTAAAAGATACCACCTCTTCCTCCTGAAGCCACCCGGCTTCAATTTCAAACGCTGTTTGGTGCGGTGTTCCCTGTTCTATAGGAGTGCCTCGGAGACCCTAAATGCGAACAGGATTTTCATCTTGCTTTCTCTGCCTCTGTGTAGCAGCAGGTCTCCTCCTCAAGCCCTGTTTCACCCAGAGCAAGTAGGTGGGAGCGCAGTGGTGGCAGGCAGTACCCCTGCTCCATTGGAACCCACCCGTAATGCAACAGTGGCAAATCCAGAGCTGCTGGGCAGCTTGCTCCAGCAGCTGATGCTCTTACATGAGAAAATGAGGATAATTACAGCAGGACAGATGACAAGTCTGTTTATTCAGGTATCTGGCTCGAGCAGTCGCTCTTGGTAGATGCACACCCAGATGAGCGTATACCGCCTTCTGCTTTTCCCTCCAAATTTCTGGCTGTCAAGAGTTTAGGGACTTGATAGGCTGGGATTTGCATCCAAGTGATCTAACTACACTAGCCTAACCCCTTTTGTTACCCTGTGCATTTTGGCTTCCATAGCATCCCATGGCCCTGAAGCTGTAATTTACCAAGGCACCTCATGAAGAAAGTATTTTGCCTAGCTTTAAACCAGCTACCTTCTAATCGGTACCCACCTGATTTTGCAATGTGAGAAACTTGGAATCATTACTCTTTTCTTGAAGTTTCCATACTGTTGTTCATCCTCCTGTGCATCCCTTCACATTTTCTATCTCAATATATCCCGTCCAAGACGGAATGGGCGGAGACACCTGTTAAATTAAAGGTGTGGGCGCAAGGTTTAGATGCTTGCTGCCCTTTCTCCACTCCTTTCCTAGGAAGATGAAAGCTCTCATTATCACTTGCATAATAGATCTTGGAGTCATGTCAGAATGTGATTCTTCTGGTACTTCCGTGATGTTTATCTTCACAGTTTGCTCTAAACTCCCAAATATCTCCAGACTATCATCAAACTTTTCATTCCTCCTTGTAAGCCGTTTAGTGAAATGTTTAAGGCCACTTGTCTTTATCTCTTTATAGAGAGCACTGGGCACTCCTCCAGTACATCCACTACCTATTCTGGTCTTCACTAATGCTTATAAAAATTGGAGCAGTGCTGGAATGATTCTGTGAAGCTTCCCAGCTCCTCCCTCAGGAGCATTTTAGTAAGGTGTTGTGTTTGCCTGTTGTTCTGCTGGCACTGGGGGTGATCTAACAGATCAGGTAGGTAGTTCTGCAACTGCATATTTCAATCCTTTTAGAAAATGTAACATTTATTAGTGATTGACCTGGCACTTGGTTAAGTAATTGCAAGCCTGTTACAATTAATACATTATATTTAATACTTCCTTTGAAAATAGTCTCAGTCCATCACCTCCTAAAGAAAGGTTCCAGGGTGAAACTTGTCTCAGTCCGATGCAATTGCAAACTGATGCTTCTCCCTCCCATGGTTTCTTTACACCTTGAGCGTTTATCAGACTGCAACACGCTGGGAGACTCCTTGCACCCAATACGTTCAGAGCAGTGTTTAGTCTTGGGGGAACGTTGCCATTAGCAGCTCGATCTTCAAACTTTTTTCAGTCTGCTGTATTTTAATTGTACGTTTAAGTTATCACATATTATAGTTATTTGTGTTTTCCTGCATGACACAGAATTCTGCTCTCTGAAAGACGTGCCTTTGAATATCCCCCATCACTGTGCTATTCGACTAAGCCGACTTGTTCTGAAGGTCCTGTTTGGAGCTTTCCAATTTTAATTGTGTTTACTACAGGTTTAATTTGAACTACTTAAAATAAATGGCAGTAGACTGGATGGGATTTAACACCAGGTTGTTCGTGTAGGTGTTTACAGGTGAGCTTGGTGTCTAGCTTTACCAAGGGGCAGTGGACACATACCTTATCCTGTCCAGTGGAGCCTAAGGACAGTCCGGCTCACTTCATCATAAGAGGTGTGCTGTAGCTGGTGAGCTGAATCAGGCTTTAGGCTCCCCCCACCATGTACACGATATCTCCATCGACTGCGATCACCTAAAATACAGAAATGTGTCCCAGTCTTTAATAGAGTGTGACCGTAATTAAGTAATTAAGTTTGTTTGGAGGTAGTTACTAATTCAAATTTTATTTTATTTGAAAATTCATTTAAATACATTTTACTGTACATTTTAAAGCTATAAAAATATCAAATTCAGAAAGAAACAAACAAACACAGTGCAAACTCCTTGACTTTTACCAAGCCTGATGCTGTTATCCATGAAAACAAAAAAAACGCTTAGCAAACTAGCTGTTATTAAAACAATATTTTATTTATTATCACCCAGAGAGTTTAAACATTCTTTCTTTCTTTAATAATTTACAGTTGAAGGACACAATCAAAATTCAAATGATGTCAGGAAGAATCTTTATCTTGGCTTCAAAGAGCTTTTGATGGAGCAGGCTTTCGAATACAGACCCAAACAACAAAAGACATGGTTGAAGTCAATGACATTAGCCATGTGGGCAAAGTGGATTCAAAGCTTTTCAGCACTCCAAACAGATAAACTGAAAACTTTTTAACACTCTTGTCAGCATTATAACGTGCAAGAGAAAATCGAGTTCCTTGATGTGGCTAGAGACCATGAAAGCCCCAAAACACTCAATTTGTGCAATAACTTTGCCAAAAGACTGCTGTGCAGACAAACATCAGTTCTGGGCTTTTGATTTCCATCCAAGGCTTTTGCCTCTGAGCAGAAATCACCTTCACTGAGGAAAAGACAGAAAAGATGCTTCATTTCCTAATTTTGATTTGTATGCCTGAATCTGACAGCCCGTAGATTGTGCAGACTTGTTTGCTAGTTTGAAGTATCTACAAGTATCAGTGATCTTTTTCATAATGGAAGAATTCAGAAGTAAATGTGTATTGCTGAAAGTTCTGAGAGGACTCTAAGATACTAGATTAAGGGAAGAAGTTTAAGAGAGAATAAAAGACCGTTTTATGCTGTCAAAAACCTTCCCTGAATATAAAGCTTAACAAACTCCAACTAATCTAAGAGTTTGTTAACCATTTTGATTAATCCTTAAGCACCTGTACAAGAAAGATACCACTGGTATTAGCAGACCCTTTAAACTAGGAAAGGAAAAAAAAGTTAAAAGATGCAGGAGTGGGGAGTTTTTGTTAGGAAATCATGAACTGAAGTAGATAGGATTATGGAGTTTGTGATGTGGGTACTTTGCTGTGGCAGCCAAGGGATGCTGTAGATATCTATCACTTGGTTCTTTAAATCCAGGTAGGCCATACTGTTTGAACTGTAGAATAACTCAAACGTGCCATACTGCTCTCAGGGAAGGAATCTCTTCTGCTCCTCAAGAGGTCAGGCAGGCACCTGTAATGTCACCAATCCGTGAGTCTGCAGATTTTGTTCTGATGCATCTTCATCTTCATGTGCTGTTGAGCCAAGGCGTGCAGAGAGCCGAAAGGAGCAGCTCCTCTCCCCTGACCTCCCCACAGGCCTGCCCCCTGTCGGGGCTCCCTTAAAACACGTTAGCAATAAAGTAAAAGTAACACAAAGTCTCTCTCTGTTCCAGCACGGGCCTGTATTTACGGTATTCGCTCTGGGAAAACGATTTACTTTTGTGACTGAGGAAGAGGGAGCTGAAGCCTTTTTTAGTTCTAAAGACTTAAATTTTGAACAGGCAGTGCAACAAGCTGTTGAGAATGCAGGTAAGCGAGCTCTTGCTCTTTTTTTTTAATGGGAATCAAATCTGATTGCCCAGGAATGTTAAAGACCCAGTCCAAAGCCCATCAAGTTTTGATCATGTCTTAAATGTCTGTCTTAACCCATGACCATGCTCCAGAATTCAGGGGAAATGGAATTCCTTCATGTAGCTCCAGCACTGCAAGTCTGTGAAGTGTTTTGGGTTCATTCACAAGGATTCAGAGGTTTCTGAACCAGGGACAATTCTTGTCTTATCATCAAGCAGCACCTTTCAGAGACCAGGTCCTATCCTGCAGCCAGACACCCCACCCATGTGTAACAGGTTTGGAGCAATAGTGTGTTGTTCTCTCACTTAATTTGCAAATCAGTTTATCGCAATGTTTAGTTGTTACCCTGTAGTACAACAGTCATCTGAAAGGGCTGTGGTGTATATCCCATTGTCAGTGGCATATTCCTTCAGCATGTGTCCTCATATCTGTGGAATTGCACTGACAGGAATTACTTTAACTAATTTGGTAATTTGGGGTGTGAAATGAAAGAAAAATGGGCAGAGAGACTAAATCACAGAATCCCTGAGGCTGGAAGTTACCTCTGGAGTTGATCTAGACCAAGCCTTTGCTTGGGGCATGGTCACCTACAGCAGGTTGCTCAGGGCCCTGTCCAGCAGGGTTTGGAGTACCCCCACAACCTCTCTGGGCAGCCTGTTCCTGTGTCTGACCACCCTCACAATAAAAAACTTTATGTTTCAGTGGAATTTCTTGGATTTCCACGTGTGCTTGTTGCCTTTTGGCAACACTGGGAACTGCTGAGAAGAGCCTGGCTTTATCTTCTTTGCTGCCCCCACCATATATTCATATGATGAGGTCCCTCTGAGCCTGCTCCTCCCGAGCTGCGCAGTCCCAGCTTTCAGCCTCTCCTTGTATGACTGAGAGGATGTGCTGTAGCATAAAGACCCAAACTTTTTCTCACTGGGTTCATTTAATTTCCATTTCAGCTGTTTTTGTCTGTGTAGAGAGTGCGTGTGCATCTCTGCACATCCCCACTGAAGCTGGGGGGAGCTCTGTTGATTGCTGATTCTGGGACTGAAGCCAGAGGCAGGAAGATATTAGAGTGGTAGAAGCCAGGGGGCTCACCTAAATCTTTACAGGGTGAGAACAAATGTTTCTGGGAATTTCACTCCAGAAAAATGAGGGTTAATGCATGTAGAGTCACAAATTGCATGAAAAATTTTTCATTCTTTTCTTTTGGTGAATACTTCCCAAACTTCTCTATTTCTTTTTGTATTTAGTTTCTGTTCCTGCAGAAGCCTTTTATCAGAATCACGGTACCCTGTACAGCATGATGAAGGGAAAAATGGGTCCTTCTAATCTGCACATGTTCACGGGCACTTTGTGTAGGGAACTGCATGAGCACATGGGACACCTGGGCACCAAGGGCGCAGGCGACCTGAATGACCTGGTAAGGTAAGGGAATTTACAGCTCTAATGCGTAGGCATCCTGTGTGGGAGCAGAGATGTTAGAATAAAGCAGGTGGAGCGCAGGCTCGCAGGTCGTAGGAAATCTGTGTCAGGATGCTCATTGCTCCCAGCTAAAAGAAACATTTGAATTACTTACTTTGAAGAAATAGCAGAGCATCTTCCAACAAGTCTCGTTTCCCAAAAGATGGGATGAAAGCTTTTCGTGTTCATGAAGAGCAGACAAAATGTTTCATCTTCAGCAGGTTAAAAACTTTCCATGTAAGCCAAGCCCTGCGCTGTTAAACAAGAGCTTTGCTGTTGACTTTGTGGTGCTGGAACTTCATCCTTCCTGTAAAAAAATCCCTTAATTGACAGTTTTGTGGGACAAAAACACAGCTTTCAACTCCTCCTCCTTCCTGATCACCTTGAGGAACACCTGTACCTTGCTTGTGCATCAGGATTACCAGTTGAACATTGCCTCTGGCTTGGAGCTGTCTCTAAGACTTGTACTGCAGCTAAAACACTGAGCACCTGTCAGCTCACTTAATGCAGTTTTGATTAATGGGGGAAGAAGGTGGGGAAAAGGGTCTTTGAAACCTCCCATCTCTCCATCCCAGTGGTCTCAATAATGGGATGCAAACCTCCACATCCCGTGATGTTCCCCCTCTGAGATCAAAGTCAGATCTGTTTCTTGTGAAAAACTCAAATGGGTAGCGTGCTACACCACTGCTTGTTCTGCTAGCATTGGCTCACCTTTTCTTGTTATTCTGTGTTTCTGTGATTATTCGCCCACCTGAATCCATCTGTGGGCTTTTCCCTGGGCTCAAGTATCTGAGGGCAGGGACGGACCTGTTCTGTGCCACAGCAGCACCTGCACAGCCCATGGGCCACAACAGTTGCAACCATAGAGCCAGCAGGTGGCTCCAGCTTCCCTGTGATTTCTAGAAAAGCAAGAAAGCAAAAGCTCTTGCCTGAAATACACTTGCAGAAGTAGCTGGAAGCCAGCAAAGAGTGCATAAGGCTTTTGTGGAGCTGGAGTACAGATGAAGGGGCCTGGGAAAGGAGCTCGGGGTTTGCAGGATAACAAAGAAGCAAATTGGGAAGGGGTGAGACAAAAAGAAAACAGGAAAGTGTCATTCTGTCCAGCAAAACCACAGCCAAAGGAAGGATTTCCCTGGATGTCTGGTTGCAGAAAGGGTTGTGCAATGCCCAGGAGGTCCACACAACTAACCTGAAATGAGAGGGGTGGTTACTAGGGAGAACAGGACTTCAGCTGCCAGAGCCTTTCTGCCACTGTTCAAGTACCAGGTGTTGAAGTTTGGCCACGTTCAGGGGACTTTCCTGAGGTCTGTGCATCAACCAGCCCCTGCTTAAAATCTGTGACAGCTGTGAGACCTGACCTAGGGCTGCTCCAAGAGCTCTCCCATCTCCTGTAAGTCACAGGGATCTCGTCCTTGCAGGCACGTCATGTATCCAGCAGTGGTGAACACTCTGTTTGGGAAAGGCATCTGCCCGACAAGTCAGAGCGAACTCAAGGAGTTCGAAGAACATTTTCAGAAGTACGATGAGGACTTCGAATACGCTTCTCAGATGCCAGAGTGCTTCCTGAGGTAAGGGAACGGGGCTGATAACTGTGGTGTACCCATTGTGGGCATTTTTCTTGCTGAGATATCAACCATGAGGGACGTTCTCCTGGAGGGTGATGCGCTGTCTTTAGCAGTGATGCATCCTTGGCTCATGCAGGCCTTCAGCTGGATGCCTCAGAAAAGTCCTGGCCTGGTCCAATCTATTTCTCCTGGCACAAATCGGAGGCAGCCTTGCTCAGGGGGGCAGGGTCCAGGTGGACCTGGCAGGGAGCAGCACAGAACTGGGCAGAGGGGAAAGAGCTGAGCCTAAATGTAACTCCCAAGCTGAGGGCATCTCCAGTGAGGCAGCTTTCTGCTCTCTCACACCTTTGTTATTTTGCTGGCACTCTGCCCGCAGGTTACACAGCAGCACTGTGGCGGAGCTCACCTTGGGTAGAGGCAGCCAAAACCCAAGGAAAGAGCTTGCAGAGCCCGTCAGTGCTCCTGGGGCCATGACAGCACCTTGAGCACCTCGCAGTCACCTTCAGAGAGAACTGAGGATACTCTAAAAAGAGACCTTTGTTTTCTCAGAGAGGATTGTTCTTGAAAACATTGACCTAAGCGGTCTGTCCAAAGTCAGAATGAAACCTCTAGTGGAGTAACTGTGAAAATCCAGGGGTTTCAAGTAACAGGTCCTGGCTATGAAGGTCTCAGACGTGCTGTTCCTCACATCAGTCAACACCACTGCCAGGCAGACTGACCATTCATCAACTGGCTGCTGCCTAGGGGCTCTTGGAAAGAAACCAAGGAGTCCTTCTCATGGAAAAGGAAACGTTGGTTTGTGCTGCCTCGGTTAAGTGCTTCTTGTTTGTTGCTTTTCTGTACAGGAACTGGTCTAAATCCAAAAAATGGCTTCTAAAATTATTTGAGAAAGTAGTGTCGGATGCTGAAAGGACCAACCCTTCAGAGACCACGTCCAAGGTAAACATCCGAGGCTATGAAAAAGATGACTTTGCTGCAGATTCTGACTGAAGGAATGAAGGGCAGGATTTATTTCTGTACTGGGAGAAATGTACCAGACATGTCAGCCTTTATAGATATACCTCAACTGTCCAGTATTGCTGTTTCCTACATAGGTCAGAGCCATAATTCTTGAGCCCCACTCCTCAATTTAGTTTGCTTCCGAGGCTTTACATCTTCAGGGAATTTTACACCAAGGGATCAGCGCAATGACCCGTAGCTAGCCTCTGGTATCGCAGTTACAGCGAGCAGTTGAAAGAGGTGAGGGAAAGTCTCTTTGGTTGTTTCTCTGAGGGCACTGGGCTGTGAAATTTCAAAACCTCACATGTACTATTTTAAACCTTGGTGTAGACTGATTAGATCCTCCAGCAGCCAGATTAGTGGGGAAAAAAAAACAGATAACTGGATTGGAAGCCAAGTACCCTAAATATTGATTGTGTCAAAGCCGTGATAAGTTGTCCCCCTGGTTATTCTACTTAGCTATGGGAGGAATTCTGTCAATACGGCTGACAAGTGCGAGGGTGGACTGGCCTGGGAGTCTTGATCAACTGAATGGTTACAGAACAGATCATTAAACAAACCAAATTTTATTTAGACTTTAAAAGCTTCACATACTGTATTTTCTTATTTAAAATAAAACAGAGTGGTGGAAAGAAACCGGGGGCTGGAAAGGGAATGGTGGGAGGTAAGAAGGTGCAAGAAATAGGAAGCCCATAGCGTTGTAGGGAATTTGGAAAAAGAGTGATCATTTTTTTATTCAAGATCAGCCTTTTCCCTCTGAAAACCAGACAAGAAACTTTGTCTTAAATGAATGGTTGGGTTACAATTAAGGAAATACTATAAACAAAAACTGGAGCTAGAGTATTACACAGTCTCTATAATCTCAAAGCTATTAAAGTCCCTGGTTAGGTTGCTAACAAAGCACCTGGAACTCTTTTATAACTCAGGGCTTTGCTGATAGATCAGACCATCTCTTCATAGCAGTCACCTCTTTGGCAGGAACAGAGAGAACATCTTCGTTTCCTTTCATTCAGTCTGTTCTATCCAGTGTGTAGGCTCTTCAAAAGACAGGAGCAGGAATTAAAGAAAAAAAAAAATCTTTTTTCTTTCTTGCACATGCAAGCAAAAATGGAGAGTGAGGAAGTAAGATCCCCTGCAAACTGTAAGAAAATGGAGGGCAGGGCAAGTATTCAGCAGGGATTCACATGGTGCCTTGACTTCTTTTGGCCCTCTTCCTATGAGTCTCACTTTCATCTTTGTGCTTTGTGACTGCAAACAACCCATAACTAACCTTACTTCTCTGTGATAAAATAGTCTTATGTCATATCCTTGAATTCTGTTAAGCCCTGCCCTAAACTAGATTTTAATATGTTTTTGGAAATACTATTTATTTTGTAACAGACTCTACTGCAGCATCTCCTGGATAATTTACAAGGAAAACATCTGGCTCCCAATTATGGTCTCCTAATGCTCTGGGCTTCCCAAGCAAATGCTGTGCCTGTAAGTACATCAGCTAGAAAAACACCTTGCCTGTTCAAAAGCCTGCATTTGGGAAGCAAAGAGTTTGAACCAGAGGTCACACACACTGCATGTATTCCAAGAAGGGATTATCACACCCACATACATCTCTACAAACATACTCAGGTTGCAATGTCACAGAAGCAATGACAAGAAAAGCTCTTCCCGTACTTTTCCTAAATTATAATCTCCCTTATCATAACATTTGGGGAGCATGTATCTCATAGCTATTAAGGTCACAGTCTTCAGCTGTGAGAAGCATCCAACGCCATTTTGAAACATGGTGGCTGTATTATCTGTTTTAAATATTCTATGTAAAGAGTATCAGAAGCGTGATATAGGGGAACTTCACCTGTGGATATATCCCTGAGTGAGTTTGGGTCTTTTGCTTTGGGGGATGTGCTGTACAACTTCCAGCGTTGCTTCAGGGCAAGAAAAACAATAGTTTGATTTTACTGCCACTTACATGTAAGTTTTCTCCGCGTTAGATATTGATTTGATGGATTAATGAAACAGATAGATCTATACTAACAAGCCCAATGTATCTAACGCAGCTTAAGCTGACCAAAGACATTTATAGGAATTTCTCAGATCAAAAATCCATAGCAGCAAACACATCCTTTATTTACCGTGACTACTAAGCTCTTTGCAGCACAGTTATGCCCTTTACAGATGTGACTTAGGAAAAAAATGATAGTGAGTTATTTTTATATGTACTTCTATTGGATATATCTATGGGTTTTGTAGGTTGGGTAATGCTGCAGTTTACCCCAAAGGAACCTCATCCATTTCAGTGAGGTTTCTGTAGATCCGCACGTTGGTACAAGTGCGAGGCGTAGCCTGCTGTCTGTTATCAGGATAACTGACATTCCTTCCATAACACTATCATTACTTACTTCTGTAATATTCAGCTCTAAATAGACATGCAGATATTTCGCTGTTTCTCAGAATAGTCACAAGCCACTGCTCCGGTGACGGGCATGATGAAAAGAAGCCTTTCACCTTCCAAGGGGATTTTTTAGAAGCAAGTTAAACCTTGTTAAACCCTCTCATCTGAAACAATTTAATTCTCCCTCCATGCAGTGAAGGCAGTGTCCAAGCTCTGTACATGAAAACTAAGCTACCAGATTTGTGTTGCAGAAGGAGAGCTGTGTCCACGTGGGGCTATTTGGGAAATAGCAGAGTTCTCAGCCCTCACCAGCACAGATGGCCCGTGACCAGGTCTACGTGCGGGCTGGGTCTCCCGCTGGCTCAGCAAGGGAGAGGCTCCTGGCAGTGCTACAAGGCCTTCTGGTTTCATCCTCCTTAAGAGGATTTACTCCTTTCCTAAATTTCTTGATTTTCAACTTCAGTGCACGATCAGTTAGCAAATTATTTCTAAAGGGGATATACTACTGCTTGTTTTGCTGATAATTAAAACTTTTCCTGTTTTTTTTTTTATTATTATAATTATTACTATTATTTTCACTGTGACAATGCCCTGCAAACTACTGAACCTCATTTCTGTTAATCTTAGTAGGAATTTACTATTTTTTTTTTCTGTTCATGCAGCTAAATCTAATCACACACAATGGTTTAATAAATTCATTGTAACACCTAGTTACTTGAAATTAATGAAAGGATTCTGTGTTTCAAAGCTCAAAGCCAGAGCTGTATAATGCTCACTGAAGATAAGTACACAGCAGATGACCAGACCTAATCTCCCAGGATCTGAGCCTGTAGATGTACCCTGTGTGCCCCAGCCACAACAGGCACATCCAGACATTGCAAATGTTGTCACCTGCCTCTGATTTGCTGCAAAGATACTGTAATTCTGTTCTGTATTCCTGAGTTAAAGTACTTTCATCTCTGTTTAGATTGCATTTTGGACCCTTGTTTTCATCCTGTCTTATCCTTCCATTTACAAGAAAACCATGGAAGACCTGACTTCTGTTTTTGGCAAAGCAGGTAATAAATCAGATTACATTTTTCTGGAACCTCAAAATGATTTATTCCAGGTTGGCCCAGCACATGGCAGGCTTGGTCAGTGACTGGGAATAGTGAATGTTGCTGCTCAGGGTACAACCAAAGACATGGGGTCCAGCTCTGTGTGTTCAGCAAATGCTCTTGACTTATTTTTAAGCAAAAACAGCTTTGGTGTTAGTAAGAGAAGGTAGAAAAAGAACCATGTGTACTTGTGTCTTCCTTCTACACCAATCCCTTAGGCCTAGTTTTGTATTAACCAGTTTCATGCTTTTATTGTGCAGCTCTGATAGGGTGAGATGAGGTCTTTGATTCAGTTGCTTTTCATTGTGTGATACTCACCAGCTATTCTGTGGAAAAACAGGCCAGGAACTCTTCTCTTTTCTCTTATCTGAGGCCAGTTTGTCCAGCGTGATTCACTGCCACATGACTAATCTCTTTCCTTCAAAAAATAGTCACCTGCTGAGTGCAGTCATTCACACATCCACTCCCCTGAACCATGCTTAGAGTTTCTTGGAAGACTCCTAGTTGACATGGGTCAAAACCAAATTGGGTAATGTGGATAATTAAACAATAAGGACAATCATGAACTAGCCTGTCTCCTGGCTCTAATTTATTTTCTAGTGTTAACAGGCCAAGAGTTCAGCCATGGCTCCTTGTCTTGGTGCTACAATCCCTGAGATTTCCATTCAGTGTCCTACCAAACTACTAAAAAAGACTGGGGATGCTTAACTTTCAATGTGACCTTTGTTTGGCCTTTTCTGACCAGTGCCATAAGTACAGCCACCACAGATGCATTAAATTATTTTCAGAAGCTTTTCTTACCAATCTTGGGCTGTTTCCGTTTACTTAGAAATGTAAAGAAAATTTTTGGTGAAAACAAGGTCCTAAAGTCTTGAAGTCAAAAGCAATTCATATCAGCATGTATCAAAACAAGCATGAAATACAATTTTTACACAGAGTCTTCTTTCTCATGCCACAACAGGTAAAGATAAAATAGAAGTCTCTGAAGAGGACCTAAAGAACCTCCCTTTTATTAAATGGTGCACTTTGGAAGCCATACGGCTGAGGTCTCCGGGTGCAATCACCAAGAAAGTTGTAAACCCAATAAGAATTCAGGTGAGAGTTGGGGTTTTTGTTGTTGTTTCTTTGTTTCTTCAGAAGGGTGCTTTGTGATTCTTCTAGAAAGATCCCTCTTAAAAGATCTAGATAAAATTAAGATAGTAGAGATATTCCACTGTCTCACATGATATTCTCTTCATCTTAACAAATTTATTCATCATCATTAATTTAAACATTATTAATTTAAGTGCAGTTTTGCTTTTCTTGCTCACGGTCTTACCTTCAGCTATGAATTAAATTTAAACTGAATTTAATTAAACCAAGAGATACAGTCAGAAGGTATACAAAACAGGAACCATATACAGCAAATACAGTAGAAGGAACCATAATTCAGTAACTGATAAAGCTCCGCTTCTGTTTGTTCCCTTCACTGCCATTCAGAAGGAAAGTGCCAGCAATCAAGCGTCTAACAAATAAATGCTTGAGGGAAAAACACTCTCTTAAGGAATCGGCACTCTTGCCCATTTAAGAAATGAAGTCCCACAGAGATCTACTGTCATACAACTCTTTCTATGAATTTCTTTGCATTTTGAAGGAGATGCTGAACAAAAGGTTTAGAAAAAAAATAAGTTCACGTGGTACACTCATACCAAGAAGCGGGAAAGACAGAAATAATGTTTCCATTATTTCCACACTTGAAAAACTAAATTAGAACAAAAATAGCCTTTCCAAATTCTCTGCTGTTTAGGCCTCCCTTAAGGAAAAAATGGCAGCAGCAAGAAGCTTCAGATGTGTCATATACCCACCGTGGCTCTACCACCTGCACCAGGAATTGCTGCTGATGGAAGAGATGTACTGAGGAGAGATTGCTTTGTGAGCTGAACCCGTGATTTTCTCTTTTCTTCAGGTTTTTTTCTCCTTTTCAGAATTTCACCGTCCCTGCAGGTGATATGTTGATGTTGTCTCCGTATTGGCTGCACAGGAATCCAAAATACTTTCCTGACCCAGAAATGTTCAAACCTGTAAGTTGTCACTTCTAATGCGGGTGTTTTGCCATCTTTTCTCCTCTTCACCTATTTCACAATAAAAGCACAGGGACAAATTGGCTTCAAGTTGGGTATTTCCCAGCCGCTGGAGGGTGGCCTCATGTGCAGAGAATGTGTGCGCAGACAGGAGGAGCCTCTAGGGGTAAGCAAGACTTTAAAGGTCAGTTACCTGTTCCAGATATCACTTGGTGATATCATTTGTATCACTTTGGGCTCTATTCAAAGCCCACCGTAGAAGGACACCACTGACTTCAGTGTGGAAACAAGGTCCACGTCCTCTGCTCTCCCTGGCATTTGTTTGTGTAGCTCATCTCCATGTACTTACCCAGGTTCACTGGTCCTTCCAGTCAGATGATTTCTGGTACGTATTAGCTCAGCTAATTTAGTAGCTCATCTAGAGTTTCTTGCTTATTATTCCACTCCAGGTGGCCGTGTGGGCAGGCCTGTAGCTGCTCTTTTTAGCACCATCCTCTACAGAGCAGTTTGTCTTTTTTTAGAAATACATCAAGGAGTAATTCAAACAAAATTCCCCTTCTAGCAAACTCTTCACCGATTTGAAATCCCTCATAACTGTTCCTGTCTCTTTGAAACCCCAAGCAGAAGCCCTGATGCAGTGACTTATTTCTCTAGTAACTTCCTAAAAAAACAAGTTGTTTAAAACTTGTACTTCTTCCACAAGGAATAGGGCAGTTACCCTTGGATATTGTCATTCCAAATTGTATTGCCTTGTTTTATCACCTCAGTTTTTTTCTTGCTTTTATTATATTTTCATGCTAACAGATTCCCTCTTCAGAAAGCTCTAAACAGCCCAAGCTGAAAAAAATCCAAGATAAACAAACAGAAGATTGCAGCTTCTTTAAGGGCTCCATCAGAAGCGTTAGCCACAAAAAACTTAGCAAAGTTACTCGAAGGCCTTGGTAGAGTTGTGCTGAGTTTCTGGAGGCTATCACCCAAGATTCAAAAAATGTGCTTCTGTCAGTGTCAGTCCACCCAAATTTTAACCCAATATTGCCTTGCTGCTCTTCTTATTTGTTTTTTTCTCAAAACCCTCTGGAACAAGGAGCCCTCTGGGCACAGATAGGCTCTTTCTGTTAGTTTTGAACCATTTTCTCACATACTGGCTTGCACCTGAGAATGAAGCTGTGTAATCCTCACGTTTTTCTCATACACCTTGAATTTTCCTGTGCATAGCACCTGAGATACGGCTTGCCTGAAAGATGCATGAGTTCTTTGTGTGCTGTGATACAGCTTGGTGGCTGAGGAAGGGCACTGGCTGAAGAGCTGCTTTGAATGTGTGTGTATTTAAAAGGAGGTCACATTTTTATAGGCATGTCAATAGCTCAAGAAGTGGGATTTAAAACAATGGGAATGTATAGGAAGAATGATTTTTTGGGTGGTTTTAGAAAACTTCTCCAGCACTTGGAGGCAGCTGTGTGTATTTCAGATGGGACCATCATTTGTTTCCCCGAGTTATTGCTGACTTTTGAATACAGACTCTAACGCTAACAGGTTGAACTCAAAAAATGGCATTACTGCAACTTTGTATTGAGGATTAGCTGTTCAAGGTCATTTTTAGCCTGGAGAAGTAAAGTTAAGCTTTATTTATATAAGGCTGATTTGGAAAAAAAAAGTTTCTTCCCACAGGATCGTTGGAAAGAGGCAAATTTAGAGAAGAATGCTTTCTTGGACAGCTTTGTGGCATTTGGAGGAGGGAAGCATCAGTGTCCAGGAAGGTCAGTGAAACAGCTGGGGTTTATTTATTCCCAAACCCTGCAGAGAACAACCCTCTTGAACTGGGCTCCCCTTACACTTGGCGATACAGTGTTTTCATTGTTTTGCTTTGTCAATGTTCTAATGTTCAGTATTATCTGGACCTTATTTAAACTAATTTGAAAGTGGCTTCGTTCCTGGAAAAAGCAGGTTAAGCCACGATGCAAAAGCAGAACCTGAGACTAGTGTACCAAGGGATATTCCCCAGGGAGAAAAGCCTAACTCTGCTGCTGCTGGAGGCACCTTTTCATCAAGGGAGTTGTTCCATGTACAAATATGCCACTTCACAGACACAGCAGGCTTTTAAGTCACCATAAACCACTTCCAAACTAACTTTACATTTCTCTGGTCTGAGACTCTTTCCATCCTCCATGCCATTGCCATTTTTGCTAATCTCCAAATGTCTTCAATGGCTCCTCTCTGTTTAAGTCTCTCATCTTTCCATCAAGGCCCACGCAATTGTACGATGGCTTAAATTGCAGATCCTGTCTCCTCCATTCCCCCAGCAATGCCAGCCTCAGTGCTTCCTGCATTCCTTCTGCTGTTTTCTCTGTGGTCCCTCTTCCTGGAACAAATCCCAGGGAGCCAGCTGCTCCTTGTTTCTGTGTTAAAACATCGCTTTGCTCAGTTCTCTGCCTTCAGAACCGGGTCTGCTCTAGGCAGCAAATAACCGAGATTCCTTAAAACAGGTCGTTTTAATCCAAGAGTCCCAACATGCAGTAAAGGAAGCCAGAGGGTGTTGGAAGGAAACAGAACCTTGAATCTGTACCCTATAGCAGGCTGGACATGAGTGTCAGATAAATTTTGTGAAGACATTGTATGCATAAGTAAAATGAATAAATCTGCATCCACTCTTTTGGCTTAACAAAGTAAAGTCCTCACTCACTGCTGTACCTCCATGGCTTATCCAATATTCCTGAGCTAAATATGAGCTGAGTGTAGCCTCATTCCCAGCAAGGGCAACAGCAAAAGTCACAAGAGGCATCCACAAGTAGAGGACAAGCTGCAAAATAACGTTTCTGAAAGCTGCTTTTTTATATACACTGACCTATTTCTTTGTTCTGGCTGTTCTCTGGACGCCGATAACATCTCTAAAATAATTTTGTGGTTCAAAAGAAAATGATAACATTTCTACTTGGACAATGGATGGAGAGTCTTTCACTTGCTGATAGACAAAAAGTCCTTTCAAAGCCTTTGGCAGGCCACATGGTATCACACACCTCCACACTCTCTGGTGGTAATTCTGAATAATAATGTGGTAGTCCTGGAAGAAAGGAAATTAAATGAAGGGATGTATCCAGATCCCAGGTTGCAGATGTCCATGGTACAGCTGAATGAAACAATGTTATTTGAGGTTTCAGATGAGTTTTCATTTAATTCAGTACTGGTATTTATAAATGAAATGTATTAAACATTTCATTTTCTCCACATATTGCAAAATCTTATCATGAAATCAAAAGCTAATGTAATTGAACTGAAAGCTAGAAAATAACTTGTTAAATAATCTAGTAAACTACATGGGAAAAACTCCCACAAAGCCATTTCTGTACCAAAGGGAAAAGTGGAGCTGCTAGTCTAACATGACTTTTGTCTAACCAGGAGACTGGTTGCTGGTGCTTATCTTGCATGGATCCATCCATTGTCTCTGATCTTACACTGATGTTATAAACCCTTCAGCACAAGGGCTGTGATTTCATTCTCAGCCTCCATTTACTGCAGGATCTCAGTGCCCAGCTGGGCTCCTGGGTTGCTGCAGAACACAAGTACACAGCAGTGCACTGGGGACAAGACTTGAGAAAGTGCATCTTGGTTGGCCCCCTTGTCACTAAATAAAGCAGGAAGGCATCTGTGACTCAGAGCTCCTAGAGGAAAACTGCTTTAGGACTCAGTTATGAATATGAAAGGCAAGCGGGGACTAAAGGGCATTCAGCTGCAAGAGAGCTCACGGATTGTGCTCTGTACGACATGGACAGGGAGAGAGGGATGCACTGGGACACTGCAGTCCTGCCTCTCATTCCTGGTTCGTCCTGAGCTCTCCTTCTGACGTGTGGTACCCTCCTTCTGCCTCAGCATCTCTGCAGAGGGGAGAAACAGCAGCAGCCTGTTTGAAAAAGCACTTTGAGATCTCGGTGGGCTGCAGGGGCAGGACCAGGAGCCCTGGAGCACCATCAGGAGCCCAGGGCAGCACCGTGCCAACAGTGCAGTGACTGAAAGGAGCCACTTTTGTTGGCATCGAGTTTGGGCCAGCAAGTCCTGCCTGGCCGGAGCTAGTTTCCATTCATGTATCTCTGCACTGCTCTCCCCTGAACTGAAGGTCACCAAGAGCTCCCCATCTCAAGGTGATTGCAATGTGAAATCACAGAGATCATTTGGGTCTCAAGCTACGCCAAAACAAACAAGCATCCTCCCACTCCGGAGCACGGGGCAGCTCAGTGTGCAGATCTGAACAGCTCTGCAGAAGTTATCTTGGGTCTTGTGGGACTTATTAGCTCCCTCTTCACACCTGCCGGGCCAAATCCAGGCAGACGCCACGTGCAGTCATGTGCTCTTCTCCCTGGTGAATTCCCCAATAGCTTTTTTTTCCGAGTTTTCCAGCATCTCTCAGGTAATGGAAAATAAACTGTGTAGAAGAGTAAGGCAGTCTGACTATTTCAACTAGCTCTTTAAGACATATGGCTAAATTCTGCAAATGAGTAATGCCCTGACCTGGCACAGGTACACGCAAGTGGCTGAATGCAGAAAGTTCTTGTACGTAGTGACATTAAAAAATAATAGCTGAGAAGAGTTCATCTGTAGTTATCTGAAATCTTCTCTGCACTGACTAAGAGCTTTCTGAGCATGTTACAGAAAAAAAAAAAAATCATGCCCTTGGGTTTCATGCTGCATTCTAACGCTGACACATTAAGTAATAACTCCCGCTGTCACATCTCCTCTGATGTCATCAGGCTCCCAGCTGTATTATATAACTTTATATAGCACAATTAGTCATATAGCCTTTTCTATATTTGACTGGCTTCTCACTCCTAGGAAGTTATTTCGAGTCAGCAAGTGTTAGAAGAACATAAATGTTTACACAGTGGAAAAAAACCCTAATGATAAGGAGCTGTTTTAAAATAGGGTGTCAGAGGGATAGAGTTGCTCTAAAGTTTCACCAGAAAGCAGGGACAGCCTCTACATTCATGTTCTGCACTGAATAGTGAAGCTGAACAAAGCCACAGCATTTTTTCCTACTGCAGATAAACCTACAGGCGGAACTGAGACATGGAATGTAAAATGTGTAAAAGAGAATCTGTTTCTTATCTGATAATACCACAAGTGTGATCATCAGGCTGGATATCGAACATCTTTCTCTCTTTTCTTGCAGGTGGTTTGCTATCATGGAAATCCAGTTGTTCGTTGTGCTGTTCCTGTACAAATACGAATTTGTGCTTTTGGATGCGGTACCAAAGGAGGTAAAAGATCTGTGCATTTATTTAGCATTCCACACCTTTATATCCTTCATTCACCGTGCTCAGCTGAACAGCCATTCTTAACTGCTTATTTATACTGAAGCAAAATGCTGAGAGAAGCATTTAAAAACATGTAAGAAATAATTTGATCTTCACTTTTACTCAGAAAACCCAGAGTAACTCCAGTGATCTAATGGGGCTGTGCTGTCTGTACAAGAATGCACCCCTGAGATTGTTTTGTCTCATCATTGCCTAAACATTACAAGAGGTTTTATAATTACTTTCTGCTATTCACAAAACCAATGAATATGGAAATGGATTATTAATACGTGAAGCAGGCATGAAAGCAGATGCAGCATTCTCAGTGCTCTTCCGTTACATATTGAGTTGTGGAAGAAAAACGATTAGGGTAGGGCTGAAGGAGCAAATGCAACACAGAGAGGTTTTACCATTAAGAGAGAGTGGCGTGGTCACTCAGCAGTAATTTCTTATCCCATTTGCAAAGTGTCCTTTCCACTTTCCAAAACTTGTGGTTCCTCACAAACACGAAGTGCTGTGGAATGAACGTGTCTGCTGTCACAGCCTAAGCATGACACGCGTGCCCTGTAGCTAAACTGCCAGGGAGAAGAGAGAGAAGTTAAGAGTGGTCTGGGCTTTGTTAGCATTGCCCTTTGGGCTAAAAGTTGAGGAATTCTTGAAGAGAGGTTGATCTCACATTCCCACCAGAACAGGGTGGAAGGTTGCCTCATCCTTACTGGTGGTGTGTTGCCATCCCAGCTCTCAGTGGAGTTGTTTGTAAATTGGGTCTGCACCCACAGGCAATTATGCTGGTGAAGATATCCCAAACCATTAGAGTTTCTTAAGATCTCATGTGTCATCCTCTGTCAGAGGAAGTGGAATAAAAGTTAACGAGTGGCTTCTGCAAAGCCAAGAAATATTCTCAGTATTTGGTCTTGACTCTTTGAGGCCAAAGCTCCAAGAATATGGTAATATCTTAATATTAAAACAAGATGATGGCTCCTTTAACTGAACTAACTTCATGTTTTTACTGATCCTCTTTTTGCAGAGCCCTCTACATTTGGTGGGGACACAGCAACCCATGGCACCATTCCGGGTCCAGTATAAATGCCGGGAATGAGAGCGGCCCAGTACTAACTCACCTCGCTTTGTCAGCCCCACTGAGCTGCTTCTCTACCCTCCATGTTCAAATAGGTTCTCTGCCATAAAAGTTCTCAATTTCAATTTTGAATGCTGTACATACTCTGTGTATGCCATGACAGTACAGTCATATCTGGGCTCTTCTTCCTGATTGCCTGCCTCCTGGTATTTAAAAATCAAGCTCTGCTGCATTTGGAATTTGTGGGCCAAATTACTTGCATTCTTTGGTAGTCTAACTGATACGCTAAACTCACTCAGCAAACATTCAGGACAAAAAGCGGCTACATCTGGAAATCCAGCATGGAGGTTTTGTTAGAACCAAGAGAAAAACAGGTCCCTTGTGCCAGGTCACTGCTTCCTGTGGGTTTCTTCAAGCCAAGGTGAAGGTGATGCAGCAGGCTAAGAAATCAGTGGTAACTGTGGTTCCCAGGCTTTGCTGTGCCCAAAAGCCACGAAGGTGCTGAGCAGAGACCTCTCGATCAGATCCTTGGCCACCATAAAGTAGCATCACTTACGTCCTGTTGCTTGTGTAGGTCATGGAGGATCTGGTCTACCCTGCCTACAATTGGGGCCAACGTATTGCAAATAAAATGCATTAATAACAGAAAAATGTCAAGCATGACAAATACCTGAGGTGTTGTTCCACTGGAACACCTAACATTTCACTGAGCTTTATTGCTCCACAGGATTCAGGAATGGACCTTCCGTAAATATGCAATGAAAGCTTGATCATGATGCTTGGTTATCAAGTGCAGAGATTGCAAGAAAAGCCATCACTGTTCATCAGATCGCTTGTGTGAGCTCTAAAACATTTTTACCTTTAACATGACTTAACAGACAAACTTGCAGAAATCTAAAAAGATGTAATCCTATAAAGAACACCTAGTAAAAGTTGTTCAAGGAAGCTGTCAAATAAGTTCAGATACCAACACTTTAACTGCTGTCAGATTTCATATACAATAATAGCGGGCATGTATTTTTAGTCTTTGAAGATTATTCATCATTTGAGAAATATTTGTAAAAAAAACACAAATGGACTTTCAGAAACACTTAAAACTATGAGAATAACATCCATAGGAAAATAACTCGTATAAGTCATTCAATGATTGGCTTATCTCAACTACAGACACGACAATTTAACAAACTTTAATGATTTATGTGTCTGGAAAACGATTCATCCAATATCTAATTTGGCTTATAGTGCTTAACTCTGCAGGAGCTGCACTCTTAACTGCTGTTTCAGAATTGCTCTGGTAACTGAGAACTATTCCCTTGGTTTTCTTCTATGGTCATTACCCAAAAGTATGTGTTTTAATTTTAACATTTGGAGATGTCCACAATATCTGCCCAGGTATCTTGTGGATTTGCAAATCTAAGCAACTATTTTCAATGTGCACTTCTTTTCATTTTTTCCATATACTGTATTTGTGATTTGTGTTTTTTTTTTGTTTGTTTGTTTGTTTTTTTCCCAAGAGGGATTAACTCAAAAAAACAAAATTCTCTGATGGCAAATTTGACTAAAGTCAAAGGTCCCTAAAGGGAAGTATGACCTGAAGGTCAGCATCAATTTGGTTACACTGAATAAAAGGCACCTGAAGCCCTGTGTCCAGAGGTGACTCCCATGGGCACCAAGAGGAGCATCTAAATTGCACAGGAATTCTTGTGGGATATTGATGGGAGGAACCAAAGGTGGGCAAAGGAAGGGGTCTGGATGCTTTTGGGAGGAATAAATGTGGGAAAATGAAGGGATAAAGGGATGAAAAGAGTTGGTTGCACGTGAACAGGCTTCCGACTGTTAGTTTTGTCTGGCTATGCCCTGGTCCTGATCAGTGCAGCAAGAATCAAGCCTGCCAAGCTGGCAAGTAGCTGGAGTGGCTCTAGGGGTGAGCCAGAAGGAGTTGACCTCTGGAAGGACCGAGGCAACGAGGGAGAGCGAGGATTCAGGACCAGCAACTGGAGGGATCTGTGTTGTAAATAGATGTTCATAGATATATTTTGTACTCACAGACCTGCACCCCGATCTGCCAGGGAGGGGAGCAGGATGAGGCTAGCGGTGCTAGTTGTGGGAATGCTGCGTGTTTCTGCCCGTGTTGATGTGTATGGCCATCAGCATCTGTACTCGTTACACACGGGTTTGTGCGTGTGCCTCCGGGAAATGCCCACTCAGTCTCTCCTGGCTGGACCTGCGGGCACGGAGCTGCAGCAGCCTCACTTCTGTCAGGCTGCCAGATTTAGCAACTCCCTAGCAGGCCATAATCAGTTATGAAAATAACTGTCTGTGAAGGCAGGGCTTTTTTTTTCTCTCTCTTTTTTTTTTTTTTTTTTTCCCCAAGTTTAGGCTTTTGAGAGGAAAGGAGCACTACCTGCACTTGACACCTGGAGAGATACCAAAGAAGCACGTGAAGAGAATCGGCTTTGACTCTGGAATCCCACTGCTGCCTGCCTGCTGTGTTGTGGATGACAGCTCCGTGTACTTGCCATACTTTCCTAGGTAGAAAAAAAGCATGTGAGACGGATTAGTAAAGCAATGTGGTAGTCAGGTGATAGAGCTATATGGGGTCTTCTACCTGGAAATAATTCAGAAGCTTCTGGGGGAGGGAGGGATAGCACTTCACCCCTGGGACAGGGTTAAATGCTATTAAAAGGTCATCACTCTGCTCTACTCAGGATTGGGTGAATGGTTTCTAAATTCTTCAAGTGCTTGTCCAGTCTGGTTTTAAAAATGACAACGCTCAAGTTCCACAGGTGATTTGTGCTCTTACCTGGTTATTCCTACTGTTAGAAGGCTTTTCTTCTTACCAGTAGGAGTCACAAGGAGCTTCTTATTCATACCACTAGCACTAGGGTTAAGAAACAGGAGATTTTTAAACCCACAGAGAATGAGATGTATTTTCACCTATCTCTGTGTTTCTCCCTTGTGTATGCAGTATGGATGTTAAAGGGAACGCAGAGGCCATGATGTCTTTGAAAATGCAGTTATTCCACCTCAGACGTGCCATACGCCATATCTGTCTGAGCAAAGCCCACACCCTGGGCTGGCCAAGACTATCTGTTGGTATTAATTTATATTGGAATAAGTAATTCCTGTTTCTAAGAGAGAAAATCTGCAGTTACAAGAAGTGAAAAGTAAAAAACTATTTTACACTGAGTTTCCTTTAACACTTTTTGTACTTTGTTATGTATTTAAGAGTTTCTGAAAACAAAACAAAACTCAGAAAATAACCGCATTGCAGAAACCCCTTTTTTTTGATGTTTTTGAGGCAAGTAGAAACATCTTCACTGAAATTATAAATTTCCTGTGGAAATATACTATTTGACAGAAGACTCATCAAAACATTTTCCATTAAAATCGTTGACCTACTCCAAGTGAATCTTCTTCAGTCACAGAGCGAACAGATAACCCTCCGTATCAGCAGCCACCTCCCAGAATAATCGCGCCTTCTTTTATGTCTTCCCTCTAATGAGCCTCACTGGAGGCCCCTCTCATCTGTGCTTAGCAGTCAAGTATTTCAAGTGGGCTCTTTCTTTGCACTACTAATGGCATTCAGTCGTTTCTGTGCTGCTGATTGTCACAGAAACCAGAGGTTTAGGCTTAGCACATACATCTCCTCAAAATAGATACTTGGGGACCAAAAGATATGGCTGGAGCTATTGAGAGCTAAGCTAAAAATAATTACTTCCTTTCAAACAGAAATTAATTTGATGGCTCCGGTTCTGCAATGTGCTTAAGTGCTGTGCCAAGCAAAACCCAAGCATTTATTTTGCTTTAAGCAAACGATTGGTTTGCAGAGTGAGACTGGATTTTAATTTAAGCACATGCTTAAGTGCTTTGCTAAGCCACAGTCCTGTTGCCTTTGTTGCTCACCAGTTTTTACAGTTAGTCTTGGCATCGCTGTTGTACTTTTTCAGATAATCAAGCATAAGTGGGAATACTGGGGTAGCTTTGCTCATGTTAGGGGAAACTGGCAAACGTTAAGCACTTCTAGGAAAAACATTTTCTTCTAAAAAACATTTATAGTATAAACCAGTAGGCTTAATGGGCAGCAAGCATCTTTCCCAGTTATTTGGTACATTCTAAATGTGTGGCTCATCACATGGCAAAAAATATTTCCTCTCCACTGGTATGCAGTGGAAGGGGAATCAGACACAGGAAAGGCATTCAGCAGATAGCAAGCGTTTAATTGAAACAACCAAGGAGAAGCTTTCATCATGTAGCCATTCTGAATGACATTGAACGTGCGACTGATTGGCACAAGATGATTTATTTTTTTTTCACTTTGATCATAAAATTACTAGGAAAGGCTTAATGGAGTTATAAATATCTTGTTTCCATGAGAGTCCCGGGAAGATAATTATAGCACCGAAGTCTTTACAAAGATAGAGCATTTATAAAATGATATTATCTGAGGGCTCCGATGGATGAGGCAGGGAATTCTGCGTTCTATTCCCAGCTCTGCTATTGACTCAGTGCGCGATTTGGGCGAATCACTTCATCTCTCAGTGACTCAGTTTTTTCATCTGTAAACTGGGGTAATAATGATAATTACCCGCTGCTGCAAACTCTGTGAATTAAAAATTGTAAGTATTACTCACACTCATCAGAGCCCGCTTATTGCTAGCGATGGCTGGCTGCAAGAATTGGGGTAAGCTACGCGCTTCTCTGAATGGGAACTGTCACAGTTGTGTGACTGAGAAACCACATTCTTTGTAGAGCTGCAGTCAAAACATTCATAAGAAATACTTGAAATATCTTGGTTCACGCTTTTGAAGATGTTGATGTAACAGCTGTATCCCAGAATCTTCAGAAATATTTTGTGTTTCATGCAAAGCTTGGAAACTCAAGGCTTTGGGCACATTTCTTGTTAAGTAAAAATGCTGTGATAAAGCCAACCACTTGGTAGGAGCAATCCAGAAGGATGTCTAGAGCTGCCTGTGAGAAAATAACTACATTTGTACTCGAACTTCAAGTTCTATCAGGCTTTTCTACTTGTGTGCTGGCTTTGCTGTGTATCATCCTTCCCAAGTACCAACAAATATTGAAAGAGTTTAATGTGCAACTGTTAAATCTTTGCAGCTTTGAAAAAGACAAGTGAGGAAGGAGGAGTTGTGGCAAATGAACAAGCAACTGGGCCTGAGCTTCAATGGGATATTACGCCTGAAAGGGATGACGTGGGTTTTGGACATGAAGACAAGAAGTCCTGTGCTGGAGAGGAGCTATAACATCTACTGATAGACATTTCCCCTATTCCTGAGGAAAATGAAGTTCAGTAATGGATGGCCCTTTGGAGCTTGCTGTACCTTTCTGCAGCGGGTCGAAGTGTAATCTAGCAGATTTCCACCTGAAATGCGGTAAAAATGCAGGTCAGAAAAGGGAGCTGTGTTATCCGAGGACTGAAATTACATTTCTATATTAATAGTTCTGAAAACAAAGTTGTGCGTTTCTCTGAAACAAAAGCTTCTGATCTGCCATCTCTGCACACCTGGGGTGGAGAGAGGCAGGAAAGGCAACCTGAGGGGTCTGCAAAACACAAATCAGAACACTCCGAAGACCTGAATTCTCTATACAGGCAGTCCACTGCCATAAAGCATCTGTTAAAGAGTTTACAAAGGCAGAAAACATCTTTCCTGAGGGTATGATACTGGTCAGACAAGGCAGTGTTTAGCAGACATCTGATCAGGTAATCACAGCTGGCTAAAGAAGCCTAAGGCTACAGAGGATCTTGTTCTTTGCAGAGTGTGATTAGGGAGTGGCAAGATTTGGCATTCAATTTTTCTTGGGTCCTGTCATGGATCTGACCCAAATAAGTGCCAAACGAGGCTCTGAGGAATACCCTCAGCACTGTATTTCCAGTCTCCTTTAGTTATGGGGTCTTGCACTCGTAAAGCGTGTTCCAGGCTGAAGATAGGACTTTGTTACTCTTTTTCATGCCAAAGATCTCCATCGTAAGTGGACATGACTCTCTTCCACTAAATACAAGTTTCATAATGTTGGTCTTTGTTACTGCTGACACAGATCCAGAGGCAATTGCAAGGCATTGACCTTTTAATCCCATCCCAGTTCTGAAAACCATCATCGCTCAGAAGAGCATTAAGTGGCTCCTTCCGTTTACTTGATACCAAAAGAAAATGTTTTGGTATGAAATGTTTGCCGGCGTCATGGCACAGCCACCTGGGCGTCATTCCCAGGTTCAAACGAGTAGTTGAGCATTGCAAGACACAAAGCATGGTGTGAGGGAGTCGTACACGTCAGGTAATTCATCACCGCTGAAGATGCTGCCTTTGGTGCTCTTCCTCTGTCCGAATCTTGGTATTACCATTGACTATTTTAAGCTTGTTTACAGAACTGGAGTAATACACAGATATAAAAGGACGATGACAAGAGTGCTTTCAGGCATTTAAACTGAGGCTTGAAGTTCCCTTTTTTTTTCTGAAAAAATAAACCAAAGGATGTTTTACTGTCTGAAAGCCTGGCAACCGGTCTTCGCTGACCGTGAACTTAAATCAAGTAGCACTTCATTAAAAGCCAGTCTCATCAAAACATTCTGGTTGTTCCTTAAAATACCTGAAAGAAGACCCGAATCACCAGGAGATGGTCGTGTTCTGTCCTTCAGGCATTAATCAACAAATCCAGCCCTGCTGTTTGGGCTAATCTTTTCTTAGAGACTTTGGCCTTTCCATCGGGTTCAGAGGTTTTGCAGGCATGCATTTCCTGGAGAAAAGGAGGCTCAGGGGCGACCTCCTGGAGAAAAGGAGGCTCAGGGGCGACCTTATCGCTCTCTACAGGTACCTTAAAGGAGGCTGTAGTGAGGTGGGGGTTGGCCTGTTCTCCCACGTGCCTGGTGACAGGACGAGGGGAAATGGGCTAAAGTTGCGCCAGGGGAGTTTTAGGTTAGATGTTAGGAAGAACTTCTTTACTGAAAGGGTTGTGAGGCACTGGAACGGGCTGCCCAGGGAGGTGGTGGGGTCACCATCCCTGGAAATCTTTAAAAGACGTTTAGATGTAGAGCTTAGGGATATGGTTTAGTGGGGACTGTTAGTGTTAGGTCAGAGGTTGGACTCAATGATCTTGAGATCTCTTCCAACCTAGAAATTCTGTGATTCTGTGATTTCGCACAGGTCGGCACAGGGGTCTTTAGGAACGAGCAGGGTAACGAGTTCTCTACATACCCCTAAGCCTGGACAAATCCAAGTGAGAGAACAAAGCAAGAGCTGCAATCACTAAAGCATCTGCCCTGAGCTACCACACCTGCCAGCACGGATCTGCCCATGACAAGATAATTTATCCCTCCACAGGGAGACAGAACGGCACCGGCATCTTTGGGAGGTGGTGGAAGGTGGAAACTGGGCACAGTGGGCTGGGGCTGTCCCGTTGTCAGCACCACACTGGATATACGGCATCCTCTCTAGCATGGGCTCCTTCTGCAAGCATATTTATTTGACAAATTCACAGCAGGTTTCATCCCAGAGCTGGCACTGGAGCAGCCCCAAGGTAGAAGCTAGCCTAGAGGCCCTGCTTATTCTCTCCCTTCCCTTTTAGCTTCCCCTCGTTGTTTCTTTCCTCCCCACGAGCTTCATTAGTGCTCTTTTTTCACCCCTTTTTCGCCCAGCTTACTCTTTCCTCCAAGATTTTCAGAGTGCAACATTGAAAGGGGTAAGACTGGCAAACCATAGCGCCTGGAAGGACTGGCTGCCTCTCCTGCAGCTTTGTCACACGACACATGTTACATCAAGTGTCGAACCAAAACATGTCTTAGTAAAAGTGTTGAGAAAGGCACTAAGTCTTTACTTCTCTTCACAGTTCAGGAACAAAAATATAGTCTCGGTTGTTACTTATCTACTTGGGCGGCTTATTTTCTGTTAACTGAATTCTGTGTGGTGTTATTTGCTGACTAATAACTCATCATTCGCACTCCTCTGCTTCCAATGCTATAATTACGTCTTCAACAGTTGCCTAAAGGTGTCAGAATAACGAATGAAGCTTCAGAAAGAGAAGGAAACCACCCCCCTTTAAGACCATCAATCCCTCTTTCAGCGAATTAAATGTAAATAATTGTTTTATGATCTCACAATATAAAAACCAAAACCTCCTTAATCTGGCATTTTGAAGCTCATCTCTGTAATTAGGGACAAAGATGAATTAAAAACGAAGACACAAAGGACTTCTCTATCAAACCTGTCTGGCAGTGCTTCACAACTAGAGTTCCTAAATATCCTAGGGTTCCTTCTCTACAATTAATAAACAATAATTACCACACTGTTCACTTTATAGGATTAAATTGTGTCTTGAAGTTGATTACACTGTGTGGCTTGGTAATTAGCACATGTACAAATAGGATTTGTAGTACCTTTGTTTTCTTTGTTGTTTACGTTCTGAAGCAGATTGAATAATACATTCAGAACTTCGGTCTATATTTAGATACCTACAGAAGCATCCTGATTTTTCAGAGCACCTACAAATGCCAGAATTGCACAGTGCCTCTGCAAATCAGGCCATTCATTTAGGTGTCTATATTTAGGTACGCGAGTTTGCAGCGTTTGGCTTGAGGTCACATAGCTATGGCTCATTGCATTTTTTTATTTCCATTTGGGTCACAATGGGCAAGTCACTTCTAATAATTCTCATCACAGCCTATGAAATAGCAGGAGAGGTGGGAAGAGTCGCTTGTTACGTACCGTCACAGCGCTTTGCATGTCCTAAGATATGTAAAGGTTCCTCCCCGGAGAATTTCAGTCTAAAAAAAGATAGAAAACAGTGCAGCAGAAAGGTGATACGATAGGTTTAGAGCCTGAGCTTATGTTCTGGGTTAGACTGTGCTTATTTCCTGGGTTTTGGTCGTCTGGCATCTTTGTCATTCCCTCTGCAAGCTTATGGTCATCTTGACAAGCCAGATGTTTTGGCTTCCTGTACGTTGGGTAAATCCCAGAAATCAAATGCTTCTGTTAACAAATGGCAGCAAAATGTGGTTTATTCGTGAGGAATTTGAGCTGATGTTATCACCCGTGCCGTGGAATTGTGACTCCCAGATTGCTTTTGAGTCTGTGTGGTACCTCACACAGGCCTTGGCCTTAGCAAACCTGTTATAAAATAAACAGCAAGGTCTTTTCGTGTAGGATCGCAGAGAGACGATCACTGGGGAAAGGGCATCGAGAGGAAACTACAGTCTTTTAAAGAAATAAAGAAAGCGATCTCTTAACATCCTACCTCTGCAGCTCGTCACCTCCTTTCGCACCGTGAGATGCTCGGAGCTTGGGGAGCAGGTGTAGACATGATCAGCAATTCCCACAGCACTGCCTCAATTTTGTATGGGGATGATAGCTGCAAAGAAACAGGTAGCCCACAGGTGAACACCTCGTGTGTTTCAACAAAATTAAAATGTCCTTCTCTGGCTGTAATATTTCAGGTTTGAGAGAAAGAACTGTGCTTGTACTTCTTGTACTCTAAGGATGGTTTTTGTTACAGAACAAAAGCCTTTTGTTTTTTTTCTTTCTTGAAACGGAGATTGTTTTAAAAGTCACTGAAACTCATCTTTCCCCTTGATCTATCATTCATCCAGGCTAAAAAAACATCTCTTGGTTAAAAATATTCCTTAACCAGAAATTGGGACATAGCATTTTTGTTGTCTTCAAAACTGAGGGCTAGCTGCAAAATAATAAAGCTCTGTTTTGTGGGACATTTTTTGTTAGATGTGGAATTTTTGCAATGTCAAATCACAAAGCCTTTTTTTTTTCAGGCACTCTCAGAAGTGGATGGAAAATATGAAGATTCCTTCTTGCTGTTCTCATTGCCCTAGAGCACACCAGCCTCCTGTCTGACCTCTGTCTGCCCCTGGAGATGCTCCGAAACAACAGGGATTTACCAGAGAGAGGGTTTAGGAAGCAACAGACCCAGATACAGGGGCTGTCCCACAGCAATGCTGGGAGTTCAGGAGTTCACGGAGCGGGGCCACAAGTTCTTCCCACTCACCTGGGCTCCAGGTATGAAATTTGGAGACAACCCGCATCCCTGAGCACAGCAGCAGCGTGGGCTTCTCAGTACCTCTGTGAGAATCATGCACAAGGGTATCACAGGCTCTGAAACTGTACAGCGAGTGAAGGATGCTCTCCCTTTCTGCAGGCACTTCTCATGGTGGCAATGAATCATTCATCTTGCCCCCACAGCCGTGCAGACTGCTCTGCAGATACAAGGCAAGGATAGCTGGCCTTAGCTTTACGCATTTTTCTTTAACCATCTGCAATGCATTGTAGCTCAGCTGCTTTGCATTTGCTGCACATATTCGGAACGGAGCTGAAGAGGTGTCGAGGCAATGTTGTCTCACTGCACTGAGTGTCTGGGTGATAAAACAGCAGATGCAGCTGAGCGGTGATAAGTGCAAAGCAATGCACACGTGAAAAAATAACCCCAACCCCAAGTTTGGGCTATCGCTTTTTGCTGCAAGAGATCTAGGGGTCAAAGCAGACAGCTCTGAAATATTTGTGTGGGGCTAGGGAGTCGTCAGAGAGGCGAACCGAGGGCTAAGAATTAGGATCTCTCCCCTTAGATGGAGAGGGGACCCCCAAAGTCACAGGACCCTATTGCTCAGATGATGAGAGTTCTTCTGAGGCCCCCAGCCACGCCACTCTTGCCTATTCCAGCTAAATTCAAGTCGTTTTAGTAGGATCAGCATTTTAAAGAAAACTTTTGGGGGGTAAAATTTAGAAAAGAGAGAGAATGGCAATAAAGAATGGAATGGCTTTCATCTAGGAAATAGAGAAAAACACATCAGTTTGGAAAAAGAGCTGAAGGGAAATACAATTAAAACCTGCAAAATAATGATGGAGAGATGGTTAAAAAACACATTTCCTTTACTGCCTCTCATAACAAAAGAACATTTAGCAAAACAATCAGGAAGCAGGCTTGAAATTGTTTTTACATGGTGAAGAATTACCATGGCAAGGCACATTGTGGAAAGCAAATTCCCAAAAGAGGTAAGAAAAGAGACAAGACAAATTCTCAGAGGACAGGGCCACTGGTAGCTACTAGGTACTGGAGCTTGGAGGCAACCCGGAGTTCCAGAAGTCTCTAACTCACCAGTTGCTGGGAAATTATAAGGTAAATAGGAGAAGAATACACGGTCTATTTTTACACTGTTTCACTAAGCCATCCACTCTTGGCTGCAGAGACAAGATACAGAGCTAGATGGATCCAACTGTTTTTATATTCTAAAAAAGTAACAGAAACAATCAGGGGTATGCTAATGCTGATACAGTCAACATTAATTTGACTTGCTTTATCCACTCTAATCTCTGGACTCAACCATTCATAAGAAATCATAATCCATTTCTGTCCAAAGAGTTTGGGATTATCCCAGTGAGCAGAAATGTAAAAGGACTGCTCGCTTCTTGAAAATCGAATGATTTTAAGACATTTCTTCCTAGCATTGATGTTTTGGTGGTCAGACGGGACCAAAGACTGCTTACACTGCTTCAGTTGTGCTTCGAGCCACTGTGATTGCTCCAGTACATTTGGGAGGCCATTTTTGCTCACAGATTAAATTTGTAGATAAGAAGCAGGTGCAAACTGAAGATAACGGGTGGCTCAGGATTTGGAGGAGATGGTCCAAGCCTGCACCGTGAGATATCAGTAACAAAACTCCCACTCAGTTCTGCGGGGGCAGGACTGTGGCGCTGCTGGCAAATGCTGCGAGTGGCAGCTGTTTCATCACCTCCTTTGGTATTCTTTCCATAATTTCATCTTCCTCCAGGTTTTGGCACTCTGCAACTGCTCGGGGTGGGGGAAGATGCCCACGGCATTTCGGAAGCACGGGGTGCCCACGGAGGCTGCATGCCCTGAATAGCGCCGGGGTCCAAGCGGGTGAGCAGTGAGACTCCAGGAAGGAAGCTCTCCCCCTCTTATTTTTGCAGTCCTGCTTTTCCAGTCTAAATAACACAGTATTTGGTGGCCTTTCCTGATAGAAAAACTTAATGCTGGCAACAGGGCTATTAAAAACCCCGAATTATTGCCACTCTTGTTATTATTTAATCTGATGGACTTTTTATTGTAAAAAGTGGAATTCTGGGGTTTTCTCCCCACTCACCTTAGCAATAACATCTGCATGCACACAAAAGCATTTCCAGAGAACTGGCTTAGGTGTTCCTGTTTTTTTTTTTCTGAGTGTGGATTAGCTTGCTTTCATAACTGTAGAGATTCCTGTATTAATACAAGGAAAATAAACGTGGGGGAAACTTCATCCCAATGAAAATATTCTGCCCAATATGAAAATATGAGGATAAAGAATAAAACTTGAGACTGGTTACTGGGAACAAGAGACAATCGAGAGGTATCAGGACAAGGAAAGTGTACGACATAAAATGTGGGACAGAAGAAGCACTGTGGGTGCTCTTCCTACTCAGAATGGTAAAACAAGACAAAGGAAATGCATCTAAATGGAAACAAAGGAAGATATCTGATCAGGTTTATTCTTAGAAAAAAATAATGAGCATATCAATTGATTTATAACCTGATACAGCTCATATCGTACCAGATCTGTTTCCACAGCTTGCTTTCTCTTATGCGTAGTGCCTAAAGCAATAAGGTCACAGACATCATATTTTGGACACAAGAAAAAAAGAAATTATAAATTACTGCTATCAGTAGTAAAATAGTTAAGTGTTTTATATTAAAAAGTAAAAATAGAAGCAAAGAAGAAAGTCTGGAAGGTCTCTAGAGCAGTTATGCATCAGGGTATAAGTTAGTCCTTAGGGAATGGGACCAGGAGGAAACCCTGCTGCTGTAGGTCCAGCCACGCACACACCCTGTTCTCATGTGTTGCTCTTGGGTACCTGCAGAGATGAGGTGGAGTCATCCCAATATTGATCTCATTCTTTACAAGTTTCATCTGCTATTACTGGAAAGTGCTGCTATAAATGGCCTATATCTTTTTATATGCATTTAACGAATGGAGAATTATTCTTCCCGTGTATTTTATAGGATATTTATGAATTGTATAGAAGCCTTCTAGTTCTCCCTTACATTCTATAGATTTTCAAAGCCATCTTTACAGAAACCAATTTACGTTTCTGTATCACCCTATTGATTAAATCCCTTCGCATTATTACATTCCAAAGCAAAGAGACCACAGAAAATCAGCATTAGCCTCTGAAGCTTAGCAGTCTCCCACGTACATCTGGAGCAGCGCAAATAGCCCTTCCTTTAATAAACCATGCCTTGGGGTCATCTGAATGCTTTCTCTTCGTTTTAAAATCACGACTGCCATCAGCTTTTTTTTCCATTGTAACCCTGATGTTCCTCAAGACTCCTAAAAATGCAGCTTCTGGCCCCGTCTGTAACAGGGAGATCCACCTTATTCGTCATTGCTCTGAAGATGAGAACTTAAAGGTATCCATTTCCAGATGGAGCTTGCTTCAAGGCCACTTTGCTTGGGAAGTGGAGGTTGCGAGCCCCATCCCCAGGGGCATTTAGGTCCCACAAAATCACCATGGGGGGCATCAAGAGCTTTGTCACTGCCGGGGTGTGCTGGCACTACGTGGGCATCCATCATGGGTGCTTTCCTCTCTGCATCCCACCCCACCTCACTCCACCCCATCCCACCTCACCTCGCCCATTTCACCTCACATCTCCACCCCATCCCATGTCACCAGCTCACATCTCATCTCACCCACCTTGCCTCACCTCCTCGTCCCCTGCACACCCCACATCTCCCTACCCCATCCCACCTCACATCTCCTCACCTCACCCCATATCTCCTCACCCCATCCCACCCCACATCTCCTCAGCCCCATCCCACCTCACCCCAACATCCCCCCACCCTACATCTCCTCATCCCACATCTCCTCACCCCATCCCTCCCCACATCTCCCTACGCCCCCCGCTCCCCGGGCTGTGGGGACGAGGATCTCCCCCTTTGCCTTGTCCCCACACGAGGCGCCCCCATCCCCATATCTACCCCCCCCCCGCTCCCCATCGTCAGGCGGCGGAGGGCGGGCAGCGTCCCCAGAGAGAGGAGGGGGGGGGACGGACACAAAGGAGGCGGGGCTAGGCGCCCTCCTCCCATCCTTATTGGCCACCCCTCCCGCCTGTTTAGAGGACGGGCGTTCCCGATTGGCTGTCGGCGTCCGCTGGCCGCCCGCCTTCTCCTCCACCTTCGCCTCAGCGGCGCGGGGCGGCCGCGGGCAGCAGCGGCAGCCGGAGGTGAAGAAGAGGAGGAGGAGGAGAAGGGAGGAAGGGCGGCGGCCGAGGCCGAGCCAGCCTCAGCAGCAGGTAAGGACAGGGCAGGGCATGGCCGCTGCTGAGCCCTGAGGGGTTATGCAAGCGCCCTGCCCTCAGGGGGGCTCGCAGGGGACCCCCCATCTCCACAGGGGTCCTGCCCCCGAAATGGCGGCGGGGCGCGGAGCTGGGGGGGATCGCCTGGAAGCGCCCCTGACCCCCTCCTGTGGGCTGCTGGGCAAGGAGGAGCGGCCCCTCGGGGGTCTCCTTGCCTCAGGGCTCTGCTGCCGACCTTAAAAAAGGGGTTGCGGCGTGTGGGGTTGGGATCCTCAGGGGATGGGGAGAGGGGAGGCGGTGCAGGAGGAGCCCCGCGTTGTGTCCCCCCCTTGGGAGCCGCTGAGGGGGGCTTGGGGTGAGATTTGGGGTGTGTGCGCTGCTTGGTCACCCCAAGGGGGGTGAAAACTTTGGCATGGAAAGGCAGAGCTGCTGCTGGGACCCTGCTTTGCTGGGATCCTTTATTCCGTGTCACGGGCAGGTGGAGGTGAGGGCTGTGGGGAGGTAAAACAATCACACAACATGCTGGCACCTCACATAAAATCATCACAAAACCTGCTGGCACCTCACATGAAACCATCACAGAACCTGCAGGTTGTCGGCTTTGGGAGCTGGTGACTCTTGTTCGCAGGAGCTGTGCAGAGGAGTCCTGTTACCAGCTTCTAGGAGGGAGTTTGGGGCTGTGCGAGCTGGTTTCTGCCCTCTTCCAAACCTCACAGCCCGTAGGCACGCTCGGGGGCTTTGCTCATCAGTTGTTTGCACTGAAGATCTCTGTCACTGCACTGTGACCTTAACTTTTAGTTTCGTGTCACTCACCTGCACCAGCAGAAATCCATTTCAAGGCACTGAGATTTTATCCCGAGCTCTACCAAAGCATTTTTTAGATATTTAGAATGATTTTACAGCCTGAATGGCTTTCCTCTGGCTGTTCTGGAGAGCACTGCCTGTCAGAATTGCACCTTACCCCGTGCTGGCTGCTTATGAGCTGAAGCGAGCGGCGGCTCCCATCCCGTGGGCAGCGCCCTGTGGAAGCAATCGCCCAGCCTTCATCACGCTGTGGCTGTCCTCACGGGGTCTGCCCTCTCCTATCGACTCTCTCCTGAGAGTTGAACACCGTGAACAGCTCCAGTCGCGTGCAGTTCTGGTACGTGTGGTTTCTTCCTTTTTCCTCGCAGCAGGGCAGGCTGGTTTGGGTAAGGAGTGGGGTATGTTGGTGGGGTTTGTGGTAGGAGCTAGAGAGCTGTCGAAGTGACCTCTGCGTGAGGTGCCAGGTCTGGCTGAAGGCCAGCGAGGCTGTAATGCCGTGTGCCCTTTTTAAAGCTGGCTCACTTTTAATAGAGTAGCTCGAGGGGCGAGTAAAGGTGATCGGAAAGCTTGTTCTTTGGCATTTGCGTGGATTTTGCCCTTTGAATACATTAACAGTGCTGTGGAAATTCTTGTGTCTGATTAATCCTAGCCTAACTCCCTGACCTTAAATCACAAAATCTCTCCTGATGTTGGCTCCCTAGGTGTCACCTTCCCATTTTGGTACGGGGCTGGGGTCTTGACTTAGCAGGGCTCTTGTTCCCCCATGGCAGGGGATATGGGTTGCTTGGCAAGCCGGCACCCACTGAGCTCCTTTACTACATGTATGCAGATGCCCTGGTGTGGGAGGCACACCGGAGCCTTTTGAGCCACGTGCAGGTCTTGAACAGCTTGAGCTGGCCAGCCCTGCTTTAGATGAATAAAAGTGAATCGCCCCTCTGGATGCTAAAAGCCTCCAAAAATAGTTACAAAGGCTCAGCTAAATTTAATACGGCTCTAATGTCAATGGAAAGGATTAGAACATTTGGGATTTGTAAGTTAGCATAAAAAAAAAAAAATCCTCTTTCTCATAACTCTGCCCCTTCTGTAACAGCAGTAGTGAAGATGGGCACTATTTTGGTGTGGTGCCACCCAAAAGGGAACTAAAATGTGCCAGTAATTTGTGATGCTGTGAGGGGAGCCATCAGTGCCCAGGTGGGGGATGCAGGGGAGAAGCTTCAGGGAAGGGTGCCTGCAGTCTGTTGCTTTGTGACCTGCAGCAGTTCATTAGTGCTGTCTCACAAGGTCACATTCTGCTCCCTAATTAAGTAAAATATCTCTATTTAAGTCCACGGGAGTGTTCTATAGTGACAAATTAGCAGCATGTAAAAATAATGCTAACCTCCAGCGTTCGTTTTGCAGAATGGAATGGAATTTCAGTAGGCTATTGCCATCTGAACTTCCCATTACACTCGTGTCTTCTCTGTGGGTCCAGCTGACTTCAACAGGCATTGCATCCATAAGCTAACACTAAGGAAACTGGTAACTCCTCTTCACTAACTCAACTGAATGCTTCAAGTAAGAAATTTTCTTTGTTTCATGAAAATCTTACTTGGGCAGCTTTCAGTTTATTTTTCTCCCATCTGTTAAAATTCCAGTAAAACTTGCTGATTTTTAGTGGGAGCAGAGGCAGAATCCTTGCACTTTCCCTGGACCCTTCTTAAAAACAAACAAAACACAACTGCAAGTCTATTGTTTTGTTGTTTGTTTGTTTTTTTTTCTTCCAAATTGATTGCTTTTTTCCCAAATTTTCTCAATTCCTGTAGATTACTGTTTGCAGTCAGAACTCAATAATAGCTTTAGTTTATAGTGATTATATTTAAAGCTTCTATTTGTAACATTTTGTTTGCTTTATGCTATTTTTAGTCTTGTTGTTTGTCATGGCAAGCAGTGTTTAATAATAATAATAAAAGTAAAGTTTCCTAGCAATTTGAAGAGATACGTGCCTGTTTCTTGGTGTCCCCAAGGGATTCTTTAAAAAAAAAAACACCTCCTAGGACAGGGAAATGGTCACTGAGGAAATTCATTTCCATAAATAAAGTGGATAAATCTATACGTGTGTGGTCACATTTAAGCAACTGGTCCTTTGAAACACGTTGGGATGTGGTGAAAACTTCATGGGCTTGATGTTTTGAGCTACTGTAAATGGCAAGCTCTTGCACCCCATGATCAGAGGAGGAGAAGTGGGGAATAACTTCTGCCAGCACGAAGTGAAGCAGCCTGCAGGTGAATGGCACAGAAGTAACAAGGAGATGGCCCATAGGATCTGGAAGGGGAGTGGCTCACGCAATTTCCAAAGGGTTAACAGAACTGCAGTTATTGGGATACTCCTATCCGTGTGGCGTATTTTCTGGTTTGAAGCTGTAGGGTCAAAACCGAACACAAAAGTGAGAAACAAGACTGAGGAACACGGATGGCATGCAGGTGAGCTTCGTTTGAAGGGGATACATTGAAGTGCTAAGCTATAAGCATTTCCTAAAGGCTGCGTGAACTTGGGTTCATTTTGTTTGTGTCCTGGTGTCTGGATTCTGTTGTGGCATTTACTTGTGTGGTCCCAGGTTGAGGTGTTGCTGACCAAATTTCTCATCGCTGTAGGTGCTGGATGATGCCTTAGCATTGCTGGATTGTTTATATGGCACTGCCATTTCTTTAAAATGCAGTGTGACAACTTCTGGTCCCTTAAGCATTTGAAAAAAAAATCTTGAATTGTAGAGGGAGAAGCAAAACTCCTTACTTTTATAAAGTAAAATGAGTGGTGTTTACCCTTCGTGACTTGGATGACTTTCCAGGTTTTTGTGAAAATCTAAAAGGGACCACAAGGGAAAATTTGGCTTACTTTTTCAGAAGCCATGGAAAGGAGCTGGAAACGTCATCCAGTGATTGTACTATTGTTGCATATAGGATGACTCTTAATTGCGTTTATTTTATGTAGAGCAATCCAGTTCATGGAGTAAACATGAATTAGAATTAATTATTTTGGGGAATTTGAAATCTAAATTCTTTTGTTCTAAATTGGAATAATTGGAAAGAGTATTTTTGGCAGGACTTCTGAAGTGGCTGAGCAAACTCAGGGGAAAAAAAAAGCCTCGAAATAACACAGTAACAGCAAAATACTTGAGTTTTAAGGTTTTTGATAGACAGTGAAGGCTGTGTAGTTATGACTTGTATGATATATGTCTAAATTTATAAATAATACTGAAAAGGTGAGAATTCCCACTCATGACTAGCTGAGAATAACTTATGATATGGTGACCTATTATAAAGTTAAGGCAAAGCTGTGAAAACTCACATCACAACTTCGTGAATGCTTGGAGTAGATTTGCTGCTGCAAAATACAACCCTAACCTCTGCTGTGACCTGCCCATTCCCAAACCTTGGTGGCCTCTTCTATTTCTGTTGCATTTTTTTTTATTATTTTTTTTCTTTCAGTTAACTTCCCAGTGGGTTTATTGGAGTTATAAAACCAAACTTTTTTCCTTAGGCGAAGTCAGTAAACTTTGTGTTTACTGTGCATGGTTGTGCCACGAAGCGGAGCAGGAGATGCTTTCCCCAGCACAAAAGGTGGCGGGGAGCTGTCTCTGCGCAGAGAGCAGCTGGTGTTGGAAGCGGGCAGCCTGAGGTGATGGATTGTGTTGCAGCTTTTGGCAGAAGTGCTAGTTTATCCAGTTGGAAACTGAATTTACAGCCCAAGGGTTTGAAGTGTGCCAGCAAATGCTGTTGATTGAAGGATGTTTGTCCTCCCTCATTATCATTGGGCTCAGGCTCATTGGCAGTTTATTTCTTTTGGGGAGCATTAGCGAGATTTCTCTATAATCGTGGTGCTACGCTTGATCCTGTGCAGTACCCTCCATGCTTTTCACAAACTTAGCTGTATGAAGCTACGCCATGCACATGCTCTTAATTGTGCAGGACAGCAAATCTGTCTCGAGAACGGACTGAAAAGAGGAGTGAGCTTTCCTTTTGCTTACAGAGCTTCAGCAGAGCAAAGCTGCTGTCACACAGCGTGTTGGAAGAGTATTTGTTAGCTTGTAATCTCAGACCAACCGTGAAGCTGTATGTTGGAGAAGTGCCTGCTGTGCTGTGTACTTGTTTCCTTGTTATCAGCTCGGATGGAAAGGAACCTGAATGCTGCTGTAACTCCAACTTCACTGCTGTAACTCCAAATTCTCCTCTGTTTAGCAGCTTGCTAAACAAGTTGTAGCTTTGCTGAGTTTCTAACTTTATAATACGGCTCTCCCAGGAAAAAAAGCTGCTCAGTGAAGAAGCCTGGAGACTCTTCTGACTTCTGGCCATGTATTGAAATCCCTTACTTGTCTGCAAGCCCTAAGAGATTTGTCATGCATTGGGGATTAGGAACAGGATGCATGCAATTTGTTGGCAGCCATAAAGTCATCCTTAACGTGGCTGTCACACCTTGCAGTGAAACTGAAGATTATTCTTTAGCCTAAAAGTTAGATCTGTAGAACTAACTAGAACAGCCTAGGGAAAACAAATCAACGTGCTGTGTTGTGTCTGTTGCTGTACAAAGTCCCGTTCAGCCACCAGGTTCCTGTTTTGTCACATCCTAGGAGATTTCTGTGGACGTGAAACCTCACTCCTCCCGGTTGTTTCATCTCTTCCTCATCACTAGAAGGCCTGTTGGGTGTTAATTCATACGGGGAGTTTCTACAGCCCTCGGGTATCAGCTCCCATCCTCTTTATCCTCCTGAGTCTGTTGTGTAAGGTTGCTGTTGAAGCATCCCTCTGCTGAGTGGGCTCTTCCAGCTTAATGCTTGTGTCCAGGGGAAAAGGGGCTTGCCCAGTGTGACTGTAAGATACCCAGTGGCTTCGCTGACTGCAAGTAATTTGCCTGTTGGGAATTAAAGACCTTATGCTCACTAGGAGGTCTGCTTTCCACGTAAGTTGTATTTTGTAACATACAGAGCTCGAGGATTATTTTTGTAAACCTAAAAGCAATGAATGCAATCTTAGTCTGAGCTAGACGTGAGGCAAACAGACATAGATGTGACTGTGTTTGGAGTAGATGACCTGTTAATATTTCTTGCTAGAGTTGGGAAGTGTTCTGAACTTAAGTTTCTTCCCAAATAGTGGCTGCTGTGAGGGTTTCCTGAGAGCACTTCCCTGGGTGTGCTCCCACTGTCAGGCTGTGCTAGTGTTGGGCTGAGCTGGAAAAAATACCGGTGAGGATTTGAGAGCTGAAAACCTGTCCTCAGGGTGACACAGGACCAGAGGGAATTAACCTGAGGCTTTCCTAGTGCCCCAGCTTCCTTACAGCGCCGCATCCTTCTCTTGTTTTAAACCCCTCCCTCGTAAACTGCATGCACAGAATCAGGTCTAGGAAACTATTATGTCTAAAGAAGCCCCATGGCTTGATTTTTTGGGACAGCAGTTGTGCAAACTGTAGTTGACCCAATACTTAAAACTATTACTAGAGAGCAGCAAGCATGCAGTAGCACAAGGGCAGATCTGGAGCAGGTGAGCGTGCTGTGTTTATGTAACTCTAACCTCTTATGTTATGGGGTGAGAACAAAGCCACTGATTGCGTGTTGTTACTGCAAGAAACATCAGTAGGAGGGTAATTATTCCTCTGCATTGCTTCCACTCGGCTTATGGGAGCTCTAGGGAGGTTATGGCTTGGAGCTGGTTTAGTACACCTGTACTGGAGGCTGGGCCAGTCACTGTAAATACCTGAATTTACGCTAATGAACATGCTGATGATTAATTGGACATTTTCATGCTTCCCTTTGTTGGTATGAAGTTTATTCCTGTACCAACAGTAGGGATGCTGTTTGATCTATGTGCCTGTTACTTCTCTACCCTTCAGTGTCTCTCAGAATGATTTTTCTACTCTGATGGATGTGGGGGTAAAGCCTCCAAAGATAGCAGGATTTTCCTAAAAAGCAATGAGAATTATCACTTGGGTGCACTCCTTGCTTACTTTGTTGTTTGCTTCCTAATGTCATTAGCAATTTTTCTGTTTGCATTTTAACGGGGATGGAAAAACAGGGTACGTTCTGTCCTTGAACTGCACCCAAAAATGGGCTTTTTTCTCTGTAATGTGTCTTAGTTGTGCTGGTTTTCTTGATGCTTTTGTGTTAATGCTGCTTTTCAACAGGGTAATCTTTTATTCCTTTAAGCTGAAGCTTGGTGTCATTTTCAAAATGTGTTCTTCTCATCCAGTGCATTACACTTTTTCTCCAAGCTGCCTGCGAGCTCAGCAGCACCAGCCTGCCTTCCGAGGAACAAATGGGACTTTCTTAAACCCAAATCCAACACAGTGTTTCCTTACAGGGACTTCAGTCACGCCTCCTTTCTGGATGTGCTCAGCAGCTTGTGCTGATACTGTTAGGCCTTTCCCATGCCAGTAAGCGAGACAACAGCAAAATCCCTCTCTAAGTCTTGGTGAAAGTGGAATATACTTGCTACAACTTAAGCCCCAAACTTAAAATCTCTATATTTGCGTATATACTATTTTAGAGTGTAACATAACCATGTCTCTCTTCTCCATGCTCCTAGGGATGAGGGGAGACTCCTACTTCTTTGGCATGAGAGGCCTCGGCCACTACGGCTGCATCCCGGAGGATGGAGGTCACTTCCTGCTCTACTCTATCAACGGCGACAATGACTTAAAGAGGTGTTTTACAGAAGAAGATTTCCATGAAATACTTGACTTCAACGATCTCCCGAATTCTCTCTTTGCTTGTAATGTTCACCAGTCTGTGTTTGAAAGCGAGGACAGTAAGGTACCGTGCCAGTTTCTGTACTTTCAGTAGAAGAGAAACATAGGACTTGTGTGATGTTTGTGTTCAGTGCAGTATCAAGGGAGCAGAAATGAGTTGATTTGTCACATGCAAAGAAACTGGATTGCATATGAGTGTTTTTTTTTCAGGTGGGGAACGCTGCTGTACTGTGATCTTTGTTGATTTCAAGAGCCTAAAAGCCTTTTTGCCAACTACAGTGAACAAAACTGTTTTTCTCCTGTTCAGGTTTGCAGAATACTGAGATGTGGGTGCGTGTCTCCATAGCAACTGTAGTCGCAGTCATGGTGGAGGTGGCAAAGTTAAACACATGAAAGCAGGTTCCTCTTGCTTGCTCGTCGCATACCGCTGCAACAGGAGGCTGCCTTACCTGTGTTTTCTCAAAGGTTTTAAGTTTTATCTTGCCTGGAAGACTTAAAATGAGTGCTAGTGGAACAAAGAAAAGAGGACCTGCATGAGAATATTTTCCAACTCTGCAATTAGTTTAAAAGAGAATGCCTGAAATGATATATTGCTGAATAAAATAAAAAATAAGAAATAGAAATAAGGATAAGAAAGTAAGAATAAGAAATAGCACAACAAAAAAAAAACCACCATGTTCTGCAGGATGCCCTTAGGTCATGTTTGTAAGCCTGGAATTCTTCCTGATGGAGGTGTCAGGAATATCAAACTGATAGTTTGGGGGCATTATTGTCTGATGAAGTTAGTCAGGGCTAATAATTAGGGGCACACCTGAAGCTAATTAACTTTTTTTTTTGTCCAGAATACTTAATTTGGACACAAGCAGGTGGCAGCGAGGGTGAGTTTCAGGTGGAACTGGCTGATAAAACTGCGGTTTTGCTGGGATGGATGCAAAGCCAGGAAGGATGAGAGACCTTTGTGATAGCAGGGAAATTACCACATGAAAGGAAAACAGAACAGGACTTGCAGGGAGGCAGGCTTTCTGTTAGAGATGCTGGAAGTGCTATTTGTTGGACTAGGCAAGTGCCATTGTTTGCAGTGTTTTGGTTTCTATTTTTAGACGCTTTTGTATTCCGTAGTGATGTCTTGGGTATGTTTGAATAATACAGATGAAAAGGGAGTAAAAGTTGAGGTGCAATCATTTTGTGTAGTGCTGTGATACTCATATATTAAAAAAAAAAAAAAAAGTACTGTGCTCTAAACAAAAAAAAACAGTACTTGGAACTGTCTTGGAAAACAGCACATCGTTTTATTCTGTTGCAGTCCTCTTGCTCATAAGCACCATACATTTACGTTGTGCTATTTTGTGGAATTTAACAAACCAGTAAACATTTTCCACACTACTAAAGTTCATTATGCACATTTTAGAGGCTTGGGAATGCCTTCCTAGGTATTTCTGACTTTAAAAGGCTCTGAAAGTACACTTTCAAAGGAAGACAACAAAAGCCTGCCTAGAACTAGAGAATCTCTCTTCCCCCTGCAGAGATTCTATCCCCACACGCTTCTGAGCTTTCCCTCTTTTTGAGGGCTGTGTTCTGGCAGTGGCTTAGTTAGAAAATGGGATGGGAGATTATGTAAGTACGTGGGATGGCAATCCCCGTGGACTTGCAGGACATAAGGATTTGTCTTAAGAACAGCAGCTGGGTTGTGGAGGTGTCCCTTGTTCCGTGTCCGTAAACTGTCCGTCGGTGACGTGGATCGAAGAGCTCTGTTTGCAGGTAAGTAGTTACTGTGCTAAGTCTATATTTAGATGGGATTACCTCCAGGTTTCTCATTAAATACAAGGACCTGGGGAGCTGATTATGCCTTTTATTATTCCTGTAGAACACATACTTGCGTTCCCAGTTGATTTGTACTCATAATCCTTTCTATTATTAACTGTTGCTACAGGGTAAGGGCACACGTTGTCAAGTTAAGACGTTAAACATTTAAAAACCTCAAACAATCACAATTAATAAATACTGGTAACGATTACATTGTCAATTATGTATTGATCCAATGAATACACGGTGGTACAATATACTTCTACTGCTGTAGTTTGCTCTTTTAAAAGAATGTACTACGGTAATTATTAAATCTGCAGGAGATCTATTTTTTTTTACCCACTTTTCAGAAAGTAAAGTTTTTGCAGTAGCTTTGACTTTATATACTTGGAGAAAAATGGAGGTTTGATCGGTTCAGCAGTTGCAAGTTAGCTTGCAGAGAAACCTGTCGGTATGAGTGGTTATTTTGATTTGGTGTGTAAGCTTTGTTTATGCAGCGAGTTCGAAGATAGAAGCTTCTGAGCAGCAATATTAATGTAAAGGATTCACACTGACAGCTTTAACACTATGTTACCTGAAGTGTTACAGAAGCTGAGCTGTCAAATTGAAGCTTTTAACACTTACATAACCAAGCCAGACACTTGCTAAAATGTTCTAAAGTGAGTGCCTTAAATATTTTTGTGTTAATTTGAAGGCGTTTAACTACTATGTATCACATCCAGGGTAAATCCCAGTTTGTGCTTCAGACAGCCTTGAGGGAACTTGGCTGCACGTACACCTGCGCTGTGGATAAGCCGATTTGCTTCCTCTGCCCTTAGTGTGTCCTGTGTGAGGTGCACCCTTCCAGCAATGCCTCACAGTCCTACAGTGCTTGGTAGGAAGCCTCTGTCCTGCCCGTGCACGGGGATGCTGGCAGCTAAAGGCACCTTCTTCCTCTGACCACGAGGAGTTCTCCCAGCAGTGTCAGGCCAGGCTTGAGTGTTCTCCTTGTTGGCATCCTCAGGTCTCTTCATGGACACAGGGACTATTTTAAACATGTATTCGTGGCCAAAAAAGTCTCCACTAGGGTCAGGGCAGTGCCTCAGACAGCTGTATTGGTGATATGGGTGTCTGAGGGTTTACACGGGCTGGTGTAGCAGCTTCAGTGCACTGACAGCTCCCTACGACTGAGGGGAGGCTGTTATTTTTTTTATTTATCCACACAAACACCTTGCTGCTTCTTAAAGAAAGTCAAATTGTATGTTCTTCACAATGCGATTAGAAAATGCTGTGCTTTTCAGGTAGGTTTTAAGGCAAAATAAAGGTTTGGAGAATGAAATTAACAGGGCTTTTGCAAAGCTGGGAGCAAATGTGTCTGTGTCCCTGTTGTTGTCTTGTATTCTTTATTTGTTTTGGCATATAACCAGTTAATGGAAGGGGTGGGATTTTGTTTATTTTGGAGCTCACAGCACTGCCCTACTTGGGTCACAGAAGTCTTATTTTTAAAGAAATTAAAAATAAAATTACTCGTAAGTCCTGGGATTTGTCACATGTCTCTAGGGGGGAAAAACTGGTGGGACTCCTTCTGTTAGCAAGGTATGGCGAAATTGAGACTTATTTTTGGCTGACAGAGGGACTGCTGGGGGGGTGCTGCTCCTTTTATCTTTCCAGATAAAGCAGTCCTGAAAAGCCAAAGGGCAGGGCTCTGCTCCTGAGGGTGGAAACACGTTCATTTAACAGTTAATTGCTACATGCAGCCCTCCAGCTTTCTAGATAATAACAAAAGCACAGCGAAAGTGTTAAATGTACATCACCCTGCTGTAAAACCGTCCTTCTGTAACTTCGGTACTGTGGCTGTAACCTCCTCCGGGCTGAAAGCGGTAAGCACGCTGTCAAAGTGAGGCATCTGCGGCTCTGTAAGATGCTCTAATGCCTTGGGAGATGCTTACTCAAAAACGTCACTATCAGAATATGCTTACACAAGGGAAAGGCACATTTCCTCGGGTTGTTTAGGGGCTGCAAGCTCTTCTTTTCTCGCTGTTCTGATTCAAGGTGGAAGCAGCGCCTTACTAAAGCCAAGAGTAATTCAGATAAAGAATGATTAATCAGTTTCCAAGCAACTTAGTTATGGTGGAGCTGCCTAGGAAATGAGAGCCGAAGTCCATCAAATGCTTTGTCTTGCCAATTTAATTAAAATCAATAGGAGACATCATTACTATTATTATTATTTTTCCACATTAAAACAAACAAACAAACAAAAAAAAAAACACAAAACAACGTGACCAAATGTGCCCAGTTCTGGGCTCCCCACTGTGAGAGAGACATGGGCTTACCATGGGGAGCCCAGCAACTGGCAGCTAAGATGGTAAAGGGATGGGAGCACCTCTCCCACGCGGAGATGCTGAGAGCTCAGACTCTGCATGAGCAGAGGAGGCTCTGGGGGAGCTCCCCCATGGCCGTCGGTACCCGCAGGGAGGTGCGGAGAGGCCGGAGCCGGGCTCTGCTCAGCGGTGCCTGGGGCCAGGCCCAGAGGCCCCGGGCCCAGCCTGGAGCCCCGGCGGCTCCCCCTGCCCCTCAGGCAGCACTGCTGGGCCCAGGGGTGCCGGAGCCCTGGCACAGGCTGCCCTGAGAGGGGCCGGGGGCTGCTCCTGGGAGAGATCCCTGAGCCCAGGGATGTGGGGCTGGGCACCCTGCTGGGGCAGTGGCGGACAGGGGCACCCAGGGGTGCTCCCAGCCTCAGCCATGCTGTGATGCTGTGTGTTGAAGCGATGAGCTCTCGTGCCTTTATTCTCCTGATGAGATGGGTCGGTGTGGTAATGCACAGCTGGGGAGTGAAGGTGATACAAATGCATTTCCTGAACTGTGAGCTTAATGGAGAGGGGGGAAAGGGAGTAGAAAAGTCAAACTAAGTCAATGAAAACAGTAGTCCTGCTTTAGTGGAATTAGAAAAGCAGCTAGTGTTTTCATGAGAGATTCTTTCCTGTTACAACCTTACTGACATCTATTGGATGACTTCCTGATTTTCCTACAGCAGCCTGCATTAGACTCCCTTTGATTTCACTTTAGCTTATTGAGCCCAGGCCTTGAAGAGGATTTCAGGTTATCTCAAGTGAGTGCTGGAAAATGTGTCAGAGGACGATGCTTTACGAGATCTCTGGCCTTACTCGGGGAGTTTTGTTCCTCTGTTCTTGCATTCAGCTTTCTCAACCAAGCAGATCTTCGTGCTGCTACGGCTGTTTACAGCGCAGTAAAAGGCGTTGGACAGCTCAGTGGCCTGCTGTG